AGTCAGCCTTGAAGAGGTAGCAAGATTTCCAAAGGTGGATGTGGAAAGAGTGTTTTAATTCCTCGACTTTGTGTGCCATGAAATATGGAAAGAAGAGATGTGTGCAGCCATTTGCTATTTGTGATACCTGCCTTGGCTCTCATATCCCAGAGGAGATGCACCATGGTCACTGCCACCAGACATTTTGCTCCATTAACAATAGTTTTAATTTCTCAGAACATGTGAATCGGTGCAAAGAAAACAAGAAGTTCAACAAGGATAAACATATTCTTGATTCTTCTCTTCCCCTGGGAATCAGCTTGCTAAAGTCCTTGTGTGCTCTAGTTGAGGTGAGCTAGCAACAACTCACTAATGAATTTCCTGTATAAAATGGAATTTTTTGTCTGAGTTATGTATTTATCTTTTTGTTTCAAAATTTCCTTTGGCAGGTATCTGTTCTGCCAGAAGCCCTTGAATCAATTTGGACAGAAGGCCATTGAAAGATTCAGGGCAGGAAGCTGAATTCATCTTCTTCAGCAGATGAACTCCTAAAGGTTTTCATTTAATTGAAGAAGGCTAAATTCCCCAATAGGATTCATTTAATTAAAATTTTCATTTTTCTTTGCTCAAATTTTCTTTTGAGGATTTAACATATTATTTTGATCAATTTAGGATTTTAACTTTTTTAGATTTACCTAATAAAGGAAAATTGATAAAGAAGTAGTGTTTATTGTTAATGGGACTAACAACTGCCATTAGTCTAAGTAATCATATACTACGATATCCATTTTCCTTAATTAGACAAATCCTAACTTTTGATAGTTAGCATTTAGCCTTTTAGTAATGTTTATGAAATTTATCTAACCAATCTGCCAAGTTCTTTGCTCATTTTTCTTGTTCCATGCATTTTTATCATTTCGAGGCTATCTTATAACAGATGCTGTAACCATTTTGCATGTGCCTATTGTTGCTAACTAATCACTGATATTACATTGCCTATCAAATGATTAAATGTTTCTGTAGAGACAGTTCTGATCTTGGTTTCGCTCAAATACTATATTGGTGTTGCAGATGATCACTCACCTTGAGAGTGCCATAAAAAGAGATTATTTATCGTTAACTTTGAGACAACCAGAGAATCATTAGGTTCTTGTCCTCAGTCATAGAGTGATTCTACTGATTCTGTGCTTCCATGGATACCCAAACTACTCCGGCTGTAGCTTTAAGGCTTTTGGAGCTTGATATGTCCATCATGTACATAAAGCAGGAGAAACTTGAACCTTCTGAGAACAGGGAAGCTAGAGCATATATAGTGAGTGTTTCAATGCCTTCTATTCCCTCCTTGAATCCTTCATAGCGTGTGGGTATATTTTAATGTGACCTATTAGTAGGCTAAATAGTTAAATGCACTTGGTATTTTCCACAGAGGTTGGCATTTTATGAATGTGCCTAGAATCTAACAAACCACCTAATTTTCTCTCAATTTTTTTCCTCCGGTCCTTATATCATGCTATTGCAGCATGCTGGACTTTGCCCATTAATTTATTGAAATGTAATGTAGTCCACTATCTTGTGCAAATATGCAAGAAGCTTCCCGTTCACAGAACCTTTCTTTTCATTGGCAAGAATAACAGAGCCTGAATCTAAACGAGAACTAGACCGAGAAGGGTTATGCAAGGAAGAAAACTTGTGCTGACCTGAGTAACAGCAGGCAGCCAACAACTATAAACGTGGAAGAGGGGTCGTGAACATGGATCTGGTAGAAAGTGCAGAGGAGAGCTTCTGGTTCTAAATGTGATGCTGGCAAGCAAAGTGCTAGAGAAAACAATAATTTAAGTCTCCATCTCAAACAACGGGCCAAAGAACAAATGGTCAGAGTTCTGGATGTGGCCGCAGAACAGTTAGTAAGAGAGCTGGAAGGAGGGCTGCTAATAAATACAACGGTGCTTGTATGGCTGATGTGATAAACCCAAGGCCAGTACAGTATCTGTAAGAGACTTGGATGAAGAATGGAGGGCTGAAAAATTAAGGATGATGCAAATGGTAATCTTCCTGAATAGTAACAGTGCAGAAGAGGAGTCCGATGACAATGCCCAAGGTGAGGGATACGAGGAAGGAAAATGGGAGCTAGATTTTAACGGTGCCTTTAATGGTGGAATGGAGAACCAATGGAAGCTAGTGATGAAAAGACGATGCCTATGAAGACGATAACGGCATTGAACAGCTGGGAGAAGAAGATTCAGATAGCGATTTCGAGATGAGTGATGCATTAGACGAAGTAACAAATAAACTAGAAAATAACGATGGCTCAGACTCGGCAGTTTCTGAAGATTATAGTGATTAAACTGTCGCATTAGAAAAAATTTTGGTGGTGCATGAGCTGCATCATGTTTTTAAAATTGCAGCTTCGAAAGGCGACTGAATAACGGCAGGGGAAGAACAAAAGTACCAGCTTGGATTGGCTCCTTCCCTCTCGACCGTCAGGGTTAAGTAATTATAGAAAATTAGAGATAATGTAGATCTGAAAATGAAATTGATTACAACAGGTTGCCAACCTGAGGACATTCTTTTTAGGAATCTTCAAAATGTAATGGCATGTTTTGTAGCAGAAAATTATTAATAAAGTTTAAGTTATTCATATTTTTCCAACATAAATGATTATAAATTTTTGGAGGAATCACAACAGTTTCATCCATAGCAAATAGACCATGATGGTCAAAATTGTTCTACATCACAACTTTGCTTTCTCTGCAGTGCTAAATAGATTATACATTTATTCTTCTAGATATCAAATGCATTACTTTAAAGCATAAACTAAAACATTACAAATTACGTAGCCTTGACCAGGAAGGGAAAGAGCAGAAGATACTCACAAGTTTCAGCTTATATTTTTCCTAATGATGATCGGTGTTCCACTTTATGGTGCCAATAACTTCTTGATTCCAGACTTCTGCTCTGCAGTTAACCTCATTGGGAATTTAATATTGAATTTGATTCTCAGGTTACCCTCTCTTCGAGGGGTCCTTTGGAATTGGCATGCCTTCCCTTGGGACAACCTCCTCATAGTTTGGATGAATCACATTGGTGACGGGGATAGTCAAGCTCCTTCCATCCAATGTTGTAAGATGGACAGTGTAGCCTGTTAATGCTTCGGCCAGTGATATCTTTTGCGAGACAACGAGGTCATTGCCCTCCCGTGTAAATGTGCTGTGTGGTTTCTCATCAATAATGAAAACAAGATCTGCAGGGACTACATTCGGTTGTTCATTTCCTTTCTCAGGGAAGGTAATCTTTGTTCCCTTTTTCCAACCAGGCTTGATATCAATGGTCAGGATTTCATCCACTGGCAATGTCTTCCTGCAACACAGTAAAATTTGTTAGGTCACCATGTCAGCAAACAGAAAGAAAACACAAAAAAATGCAGCCATGAAACAGTTGGTATTATTAGGTCTGTTGGAACTGGGGATCCTTCCTCAGATTGGAGTGTTTCTAGACAATGAGTGTCACTCGTGTCATTCAAAAAAACACACAAAATGATCAAAGACAAACTCTTGCACGCTAAAGTAGACTTAAACAAAACAATTATCAAGTTGTCCGCTCGTTTTCACAAAGCAACAAATGCATTTCCATATTTCATTCCAGGTATGAATAGCTTTGTAGCATTAATCCTGCAAGCATATATACTGTACTACAAAGAGAACTTCATTTTACTTTTGAAAGATATCTACCGAAATCAATAAACATTCAGCTGGAAAATAAAAATTAGCAAATGCGTAACAGAAAAACCCTAAAAAATAAATAGAGATTCGAAGAAAAATTATAGAAAAGGAGACATACCCGCTAGCATCCGCAATTTCTCTTGAAATCTTCATCTTCTTTGTGGTTCCTTTATATAACTCCTCAAGGCTACAAGGCAGCGTTTTTTCAATAGGAGGAGCTTTACGAGGAGCCTGATTCATTGGTCTTCCTTCGCCAAAGGAACTGAATAATATATCATCACCAAACATGTCACCAAATGTCCTTGAACCACCTCTCATCCCACTGCCAGCACCACCGCGTCCCATTCCCCCAAAGGGGCTAGAAAACCCAAAAAACTCAGCAAAAATGTCATTAGCATTTCTGGGGTGGAATCTAAACACATTTGGACCATCTCCAGTTTGGAAAAATGTCGCTCCACCAGCATCTGGAGGTGGTACTTGGCCTTTTAGCCCCTCTTCACCATACTGATCATAGATCGCTCTCTTCTGTGGATCGCTCAGAACCTGCAAACATGAAAGTTGGTCAGCCTTTAGCATGAGTCTAGATTTTGTTTTCGTAAAGATCAAAATTTTAATTGATGGGCAATCTTAAGACTAGAATTTAGCAGACACAGATGATGAATATTTGATTTTGATATGAGAGTCCCAGGAACCAAAGAGAAAGAACTAGACTTCATTGATGAAGATCGTGCTGATTCTAAATAAAGGAACGCATATTTTCTTTAGAGTTTAAAATCAATAAACAAAAAAAAAATTGAAAATAGAAAAGCTAACCTCATAGGCTTCAGAGATTTGCTTGAACTTGGCCTCAGCTTCTTTTTTATTATTTGGGTTCTTATCAGGATGCCACTTCATGGCCAGCTTCCTATACGCCTTCTTCAAATCATCATCTTTTGCATTCTTGTCAACTTGCAGAACCTTGTAATAATCTACACCCATCTCCTTTTCTTCTTCTACCTCTTCCTTTTGCTCTTCTTCTTATTGTTTTGCAGCAAAAAAATTTTTTTTTAAATGGAACTTGAAAAACTATATCACCTATAAGCTAGAGGTTTCGGTGCTTACTTATTATGTTTCTGAATGTTTTGATGTGTTGCTGGAATTAATTTGGATGAGTTTGGTGTAGATTTAAGGGGCAAAGGCAGGACAAAGAGATACGTCTGGACTCTGGAAGGCTAACGAAAAGGACCAGAAGACTGTAGAGGATTCCAGACATTGACCAAAGAACCAAAACAGCTACCCGATGTTTCCCGATTTTGTTTCTGAGTTACTTCATGAAAATTTACATCGGTCAGGACGTCAAAATCTACCAATAGATACAATAATTACTATGAAGTAATAAAAATTGAAACACTTTTAATGTAATTAAATATATCATTTTAAGTTAACTAGGTTATAACCGTGCGAAAGATAATAATTTTATTTATTTAATATGAATATATATGTATAAATTAATTTTTTTAAAATTATATTTAAAATTTTAAAATTTATAATATATATAAAATTTTTATATATTGATTTGTTATTAAAAAATAAAATTTTTAAAAACAGTAAAAAAATATGCATTTATTTTGGATATTTTTTTTACAATAATATGTATACACTTATAAAATTATATCAAATAAAAATAAATTATATCTATTTTTAAAAAAAAATTATTGAATGATAAATTAAATAATAAAATAAGTATTAACACACTTTCACTTTAGTAATCTTGACTAAATTATTATACAAAATATAAAAAATGTTAGAAAATATGTGAAAAAATAAAAAATAAATTAAAAAAATATTTTTCATAAGAATGAAATTGTAATAACAATAAAATATATCTTAGAAAAAATTTATAAACAAAAAAAAAATTGCAATAGTAATATAATATACCTTAAAAAAGAGTTAGTAAAAAAATAAAAGATTTGGTGTATGACACATTACATTTGTAATCTTAAATTTGTAAAAGAATTTTTTAATGGCAATTAGAATTAAATAAATAATTTTTAAAATTTAAATTGGATATAATAAGTGATGTATATAATATTAAATTTTTGGCATTTATTTGAAATATAAATTTGATAATTATAGTTCAAATGGATATAATCATTTTGATAATTTTATTATTTAAAGATTTAAGATTAAAATTTTTTGAATTTTCAAAATCTTACATAAAATTGTTTAAATTTTTAATGTTTTAAGTAAATTTTTTTAAAAAATAATTATTTAAATAAAAAATTTTAAATCAAAATTGAAAAGATTACTAAAAGATTTGGATAAACTTAATCTTTATAATTTTTAAACATGTTTGAAAGATTTTGATAATTAAATAATTTTTAAATAAATTTATTTGGTAAACAATTAAAATTATGCATTAAAAAAATAAAATCCATATGTTATGTTTTTTAATTTTAGAATATATATCTCTAAATTAATTTGATTTTCAATTATAATTTCAATAAATTTAAAATTATCTAATTTGCAATTACAATAAATTATTTTATTCTTTTAAAAAATTATCATATGTGTCCTTCAAGTGAATTGTTCATATAAGTGGTGTTTATGTAACAAATTTATTTATGTATACTGTTATATATATATATATATATATATATATATATTAGATAAGGGTAATGAATTTTGGCAACAAAGGATAATGAATATTATTAGAAATTATGGATAGGTAATCAATTGAATTTTACTCAATTATGAATAAAAAATTAACTTAAATTTGAATTATCGAAATAGTAATTAGATAAAAGATGATAAAACACACAATATTATAAGCAAAATCATTTTATATATTTGAATTCTATTTTCAGAAAAACATTAACTTATGACGATGCATCAATTAATTTTATTTATTTAGATATATATATATATATATGTGTACACTAATTAACAATTTTAAAACTATATTCAAGTTTTTAAAACTTATAACATATATAAAATTTATATATGAAATATGTTATAAAAAAATTAAAAATTTTGAAAAAGCTTTGGTAAATTCTAAATATGTAATAAACAATATTATTGAGCAAGAAGAAAATATTAAAATAAATAAAGGTTAAAATATTAAAAAACCTTTATACTTTCTCAAAAATTTTCAAAATTTTTTTATTTTTTTTATTATATCCAATTCAGCCTTTAAAATATTATATATATATATTTTAATTCTTTTTAAATCCTTTTTAAATTGTATTTTCCATTTGATGATGGGCCCAGGCCCTGAACTTTATGCATTATTGATAATGGGCCAAAGGAAAAGAAAAGAGGGCCCATCTCTTTTAACTTTTCTGGACCAGATTATGACTTTGTAGCAAACGTCGAGAAGCGCTATCTCTCTATCTTGGATCTTGGATCTTGGATCTTGGATCTTGGATCAAGGATCGGGGATCCACTTGCTACCGCTTCAATCTCCAGATACACGTGTCACCTCTACCTTAAAATTTGGTTGGAAAATGAAAAAGAGAAGCGCCGGTCAAAGGATCATGCACTGCGCGTGATATTTTCTACACCGCCTTAACGGACCAATTAATTTGCTGACGTGGCATAGATTTAAGGTAGATCTTCACGGTTACTTCTTGATTTCGTCCGCATTCACTCCACTTCTCCACCTTCTTCAAAGCATTACATAATACACAGCTGCAGCAAAAATTTCTCAGTCCAATGGCTGCACTCTCCTTTCCTTTCCTCAAACCAAACACTTCATTTTCTTCTTTACCGTTCACTCCATTGCCGCTCCTTTCTAGAAACATCTCTTTCTTTCCAATCCTCTATGCGCCCCCTCACCGAGCCACTCTCACACTCGCTTCCTCCTCCGCCAAACCTCCTCCCGCCACATCCACTTCCGTGACCGTCGAAACCGCCACTGAGAATCATGCTAACTCAACTGTTGTCGTTATCCGCGCGCGTAACCGGATCGGTCTCCTCCAAGTCATCACGCGTGTATTCAATTTTCTCGGCCTACGCATCGACAAAGCCAGCATAAACTTTGAAGGAGACTGTTTTATCAAAACGTTCTTCGTAACCGATTCTCACGGCAACAAGATCGACGATAAAGAGAGTTTGGAGAGGATCAAGAAGGCCTTGATCGAGGCAATCGACGGTGACGGTGACGGTGACGATGACGTTGCCGTGTCTGTGGAGTCGGCGGCCAGACGGATCGTGGTTAATAAGCCTCGGTTAAGTTTTGGGGAGAAGAAATCCAAAGTTGAGAGGATTTTTGAACTGATGGATGGTTTCTTGAAGAACGATCCGACTAGCTTACAAAATGATATTTTACATCATGTTGAGTACACGGTGGCTCGATCACGGTTTAGTTTCGATGATTTTGAAGCTTATCAGGTAAAACTTAGCGTGTGATTGTTGATTTGAGAGTGAGTTGTGACACTTTTAAATTTTGGCGGGAATGTATTGCGGGTTTCATGTAATTTGATTTTGATTGTTTAACATATTTGTAGGCTTTAGCACACAGTGTAAGAGATCGGTTGATTGAACGTTGGCATGATACTCAGATGCATTTCAAGAGAAAAGACCCAAAGCGAATTTACTTCCTTTCACTTGAGTTTCTTATGGGTATTTTTTTACCTTTATCTAAGCCTTATTATTATCATGATTGTTTAAAATTTAAAATGATTGATAATGTTAAGAGCTCTCTCAGAGTTTGGTTTTGTGTTCTAGTACTCCCCTAGTACTTATAATGTATCAATGCTAAAGGATCAAACTGGTGGTTTCTATTACAGAGTAGAATGAGTTTCTTGGATTTGCACATTATTCTGGTTTGTCTTCGTCGCTTTGAATTGAGTTTATGCTAAAGCACTGTGTGTAATTTTTAATTTCAGGCCGTTCCTTGTCAAATAGTGTCATCAACCTTGGAATCCGAGACCAATTTGCAGATGCTTTAAGCCAACTTGGTTTTGAGTTAGAGGTTTTAGCGGAGCAGGTTAGCTTGACATTTGCTTTTTGTACTCCTTGATTGTCCTAATCTTAGATTATCTTTACTCGGCGGATCGAGATTTTAAGTACAAGTAATTGTTTGATTGTGAGAACAATTGAACACATGGAGTAAATATTAGCGGTCATGCATTGTGTGAACTGGAGATTTAAACTTTGTGAAATGAGGTGATTCATTGACCAAGTATGAATGCCCATATTGTAGGGAACATAGAGACATAAACCTTTACGTTGTTAAGGTGTGCTTGTCCTGTCAAAACAAGCCTATCCATCTAATTATAACTAGAGAGAGATATCTTGTTTTAACAAGTGGCATAAAAGTGAATTCTTAATGCACGTAGCAAGGAAGCTTTTTGGCTTGTTTTATTTTTTATAATTGGTATACTCAGATAATATTCACTTCCTCTTTAGCTTATTCATTATGATATTCAAAGGAAGGAGATGCCGCCCTGGGTAATGGAGGCCTTGCTCGTCTTTCGGCATGTCAAATGGATTCTCTAGCAACTCTGGACTATCCTGCGGTAGGGTATGCCTCTATTCGATGATTTGCTTGTAAGATTTGTAGGTATTTCAAGTCAAAAGTAACTCATCTAAGCCTTGCCTTAAGTAGGGACTCTGAATAATTATCCATACTGGTTTTGAAACCAAAATTGTCTGTGAAGCTGACTAGTATATCTTATAACAAGTATCGGCTTTTCCATAATATATACTAGTTTTCCTTTTCAAAGTCAGTTTAGGAAGTCTTCATCAATATCCAGTTGATCAGATCCTGCATAACTTGCATATCCTCTAATGAATCTTGGCTTTTATTTGTAATGAATCTAATTCTGGGAATCATGTCTCTTCTCTCAAGTTAAGGATTACGCTAACCAGTATGGGTTGTTCCGCCAAGTCCATATTGGATGGGTTTCAACATGAACACCTTGATTTTTGGTTGAATTTTGGAAACCCTTGGGAGATAGAGCGGGTTCATGTCACATATCCTGTTAAGGTTTGCAAGTACTTATCTGTTTTAACATTGGATATTTGACATTATCTTATTATTCATTTACAATTCTGTTCTGTTTTCTAAACTTCTGCCTTCACTGCCACTCTATTTTCCTGGATGGTTCAGTTCTATGGGACTGTCACAGATGAACTTTTGGAAATGAAGAAAATGGTAAAGTTTGGGTTCCCAAGAGAACGGTTAAGGCAGTAATTCTTCTCATAAATTAAAGCTTCACTTTTTTATAAAAACTCTTCCATTGGTTATGTCCTTGGGTGATGGATGATTAAATGAGTGGATAAATTTAAGTTTATGTGATTGGTAATTTATTTTAGCTTAGCAACATGTCTTCATGTTGGTAGGTTGAAGCCGTGGCCTATGACAATCCAATACCTGGTTATGGAACAAGGAATACCATTAATCTCCGCCTTTGGGCTGCTAAACCAAGTGATCAGCATAATATGGTAATTTTGACAAAGTCCAACAGCATTCATCTGTGTATTAATTAGTAATAGTAGCATGAGTTTTATGTCTATCTTCACTTTCATTTAGATAGGATTAAACTAAGGTAAGACCATGCTGTGTACAGAATTATTTTCAGGCTCTATATTTGCTAGAAATGCCATCATTTGACTGACCTTTCAAATTATGATTTGGTTGCTTAAACTAAGTTACATATGCAACTATGTGGTTTTTCCTGTATGCATCATTTCTAATGCCCTCTCATTATCAATCTCCATTTATCATCATTCCTTCGTACAAAAGTATTGAATTATATCTGAAACTGAATTGTTGCCATCAAATAATCTGTTCTCTCTCTCTCTCTCTCTTGGGGGGGGGGGGGGGGCGGTTGTAAATTTTAATTTTAATACTTTGAACATGTATTGCTGGGTTCATAAATTTAGTTTGGCATAATTTCATCATTATCCAAATCATGTAATCTGCAGGAATCCTATAACACTGGAGATTACATCAATGCTGTGGTCGAAAGACAGAGAGCAGAAAATATTAGTAGCATATTATACCCGGATGATCGTTCTTATCAGGTGTGGTTGCTTTTCCTTAACTTGATTACTTATATCAAAATTAGACTCTGCCCATCTATCAATTTTTTCATGCTTATTTTCTACGGCATTTTCTGGAACTGTTTGGTTTTTGGCAATTAATTGGACTTCAATGGAGATTATTCATGTTGCTTTGATTAAAAACTTGATTAAAATGTTTGCAAAGGAACTAACTGAATATGTTTCTTTATTATTGGCCAAAAAAAGAATATGTTTCTTTATTGTCTTTTTCTAGAGCTACATTCATATTGCATTGAGGTAGTTTCTTTCAGGGTAAAGAATTGCGGTTGAAACAGCAATATTTCTTTGTCTCAGCATCAGTGCAAGACATCATCAGAAGATTCAAAGATGCTCACAGTACCTTTGACGATTTTCCAGAGAAGGTTCTTAGCTGCATCTTTCACATATCTATTAGTGCCAAAAGCATATGTTAAAACACTTACAAAAGGGCTAGTGCTTACTGGTCTTGTCATGTGGGTGAGATGACATGGCTCAGTTCTAACCTCCTGAATTTTGAGTAAAATAGCTGTTCTCAAGGCTCAATCTAGTTTTCAATGGCGGATCCTTGCTAAATCATTGTGAGTTTAGATGATGGCAGGAGTGGGAGTTGAGTGTAGGAAGCTTTCTGTACATTGAGAAGATTCTCTTTCCACTTTAATTATTATTCATAGGTTGAGTGCTGCACTGCTGCTTGACAACTTCAATTGCATTTTATATAGGTTGCACTGCACCTGAATGATACTCATCCATCTCTTGCAATAGCTGAGGTAATGAGAGTGCTTGTGGATGAAGAGCATTTAGGCTGGAACAGAGCATGGAACATCATATGCAACGTATTTACATTCACAACGCATACTGTATCACCTGAAGGATTGGAGAAAATCCCCGTGGATCTACTGGGCAGCCTTCTCCCTCGACACTTGCAGGTGTATTTTATTTGAATGTTGCAATGTATTTTCTGTTAAATAAAGTTTCCCTGATACCTGGAATAATTTTATGTGACTGAAAGTATGATTAGTTTTAGGGAATAAGCTTCATTTTAAGAAATTTCTTGCATTGTGTCATCATTCTTTCAAGGTACAGAAGCCACCGTGTGGACTATTATTATTTTTGCAAAATATTTCCTGTATTTTCGACTTCTTTAGATTTTTATTTATTAATCTGATTGGTTGTCAATTTGTTTACTAGTTTTACAAAATTTGCTCTTCTCCAGATTATATATGACATAAACTTCAAATTTGTGGAAGAGCTAAAGAAGAGGATTGGTTTAGATTACAATCGGCTGGCCAGGATGTCAATTGTTGAGGAAGGTGCTGTGAAGGTATTTCACCAGGCCATCTCAAAATGCGTAGATTTTCAAAATTTTTGTTGTGTTGGTGGATTGCTAGAATATTATGTGAACTGAAACTTCATACCATCTCTTTTGCCAGAGTATTCAAATGGCAAACCTATCAATTCTTTGTTCTCACACTGTGAATGGTGTCTCAAGAGTACATTCAAAATTGTTAACAACAAAGTTATTCAAGGTAAAACTTAAATTTGTTTTTAGCTACTCAAAGCATTGCTTTTCCTATTTGGCTTGTAATAAATTTGAAATTGCTAAGCTTCAGGGAGCATCTTTAATTGGTTGATCTTAACTGTTAGTATCTATTAAATCTTTGCAGGACTTCTATGAGCTGTGGCCTGAAAAATTTCAATACAAGACAAATGGAGTGACCCAGGTTTAATAAGTTGCAATCTTCACTTCATTTGTTACCTTACTGATAGATTAAGTTGCATGCTGCATTTCAATAAAATTTTGGAATTCTTACTTTAATGCAGTGATGCATCTAGCGCTGATGACTAAAATTTCATGAATAATATGAACTCATCTGCTGTGTATTGATTTTGATATGTTAACATATGATTTCTCAGCGTCGCTGGATTGTTGTGAGCAATCCTAGTTTATGTGCTCTTATCTCAAAATGGCTTGGAACAGAAGATTGGATCCGTGATATTGACCATTTAATAGGATTGAGAGAACATGCAGCTAATGGCGAATTGCATCAAGAATGGAAGATGGTACTTTTGTAGTAAGCAGGATTAGCTTTGAAAATAGAACACATAATTGGCTAAATCATTAATTTATTATTAATTACTATGTCATAGGTTAAGAAGGTCAACAAAATAAGGCTTGCTGAGTACATTGAAGCAATGAGTGGTTTGAAGGTTGTGAAGAAAGCTTTAATTTATGTCCTTAAATTCCCTTGTCCTGTCTTAGAGGAGCTTGTAATGATCTGATGCTGGCGTGCATTATTTGTAATGGGCAGGTCAGCTTGGATGCAATGTTTGATGTTCAGACAAAGCGGATACATGAATATAAACGGCAGCTGCTTAATATACTTGGCATTATCCATAGATATGACTGTATCAAGGTTAACACTATCTTTGGCTGAAAGAGATATGAAAACAAATTGAATTTATTAAATGCTGCTTCTTATACATGCCTGATTAGCTTGTCCATGTAGAAACTAACAATTAGAGGTTTAAGTTATTACCATCTTGCGGCTGGATGTGTGCAAGATCTAAGGTTCCTTACTCATTTTGTTTGCATACATCCTGAACTGTTAGGTACGAGTAGATTATCCATTCTCCTTAAGCATGATCTTTTTGGCTTTGCATAAAGATGTTAAGTTATACAGATTTTATATGTTTTCAAACATTCTACCTTTAAGTTAAAAAAATCACCAATTTTTCTTGATTTCATGATTTGAATGTGGCACTCAGTGGTATCTTGCACATGCTATTCTCTCCTTGGTGCAGAATATGGACAAGAATGACAGGATAAAGGTTGTACCACGTGTCTGCATAATTGGAGGAAAAGCTGCTCCAGGTTATGAAACTGCAAAGAAAATTATCAAACTTTGTCATGCTGTGGCTGAAAAAATCAACAATGACAGTGATATTGGAGATCTTTTAAAGTTGGTAAGCCAATATTATTTTTTCAAATGTGTTTGCTGAATGTAAGTGTAACTAAGAAAGCGTATTATTTACTCAGAAGGGACTAATTACCCCTAAACAGAAATAATCAGCAATCAAGATGATGAAATAAAGCTGTAAGGATCTGTGGACCTGTCTTATAATAAATCTGTCTTCCTAAGTCTGGTTAACTATAACTGCAGGTTTTTATCCCTGATTACAATGTTTCTGTTGCTGAGTTGGTAATACCAGGGGCTGACATTTCTCAACATCTAAGGTAGAAAGCATAAGCTTTTCACTTCAGATGGAATCACGAGTTCTGTTAGCAGTTATCTCATCTTTTGCAGCAATCACTGAGTGGGATTTTACTTGGTGTTTTTGTATTGTCAACTATTGGCTTCATTTATAGAGATATATTTTGCACTCTAAAGATGGATATGTCCATTTTAGCAGTAAATTTGGGTTGCATGTTATTGGAATCTTTTAGCATTAATTGTCATTAAGCTTTTGTAATTAATATCATTGAAAAGGTGGAATAATTTTGTCATTCAAAAGTACAGATTAGGCAGTTCAAAAGAGATTAGGATGATGAAACGATATAATAGGCAAGTGATTGGTGCAGAATTCCCCTCCCCACCTCTGAAGCCCCTTTTTCCATAACCATTTTAAGAAAAATATTTTCTCCCACTCAATTCATCTGCTTCTGATCTACACTTCTTTTACCTAAAGTATCCTGATTCGGTTGCAGCACTGCAGGACATGAGGCATCAGGAACCGGCAGCATGAAGTTTTTGATGAATGGTTGTTTACTTTTAGCTACAGTAGATGGTTCTACAGTTGAAATTATTGAAGAAATTGGGGAGGATAACATGGTAAGTACAACTTAACATTGGCCTATAAATTGATGCTGAATGTAACAACACATATACAAACGGTAATCAACAATATTAGTAGGACTGGATTTCTGATAAGGTTTCTTTCAGTTTTTGTTTGGTGCAAAAGTGCATGAAGTTTCTGCATTGCGTGAGAAAGGACCTGCTCTTAAAGTTCCTCTGCAATTTTCACGTGTCGTAAGGTATATCATGGAACTTTGGCCCCCCCACCCCTTCATTCCATGTAATGTACAGCCATATCAATAATATGCATCTCAACCCTTGTTTTCTTATACAGAGTTTGAGCTGCTTCAAATATGATATGAATTTCAAGTGATTCAATGTTATTGTGTTACTATATGTAGAATGGTTCGTGATGGTTATTTTGGGTTTAAAGACTATTTCAAATCGTTGTGCGACAACATAGAGGGTGGGCAGGACTATTATCTACTTGGTGCTGATTTTACAAGCTATCTAGAGGCCCAGGTAATACTGGTTTTGCGATCCCTTGATTTTGCTTCCATCATGTAGAAATTAGAATGGCTTGAGGATTTAATCGTGAACATGTGGAAACAACAGGCAGCTGCAGATAAAGCATATGTTGATCAAGAGAGATGGACTGAAATGAGTATACTTAGCACTGCTGGCTCTGGGAGATTTAGCAGTGATAGGACAGTTGAAGAGTATGCCCAAAAGACGTGGGGAATTCAACCCTGCAGATGCCCCTTTTGAAAATCCACGCTCTGGGAGGCTGAGAAGCTATATCACCAACTTTTCAATTTCGATAATAATAATACACTATTAAGTAAGTATTTGTAGTAAACAGAAATGCCTTTTTTTTTTTAACAAAAAATTAAAAATCTATTTGAAGTGGCAAAAAGAAAAATAATTTATATTTGTGTTGTCAGCTCGAAAGTTCTTCATTTGGTAACTCTAGGATTTTATAAGCTTCGACTACCACTATTCTTTCCTTCTTGCAGGAAGAAAGAAAAGATTTTTACAGGAAGCAGGAATAGCGGCTTATATGGTTCTCCCTCCCATGTTATATTTAGGTGCTGTTATCACAAGTTCAGCTAGGTCAAGAAATCTTCCATTCAGGGTAGTGGCTTACCCTGGAATAGTGGACAAGCTGCTGCAGTTTGTCTTCTCTACTCTTCTTTCTTTTACGTTTTGGTTTTGCTATCAAAGGTCAAAGAAGAGTTGGCACATGTTCACCCCACAGCACTGGGTCTATTGGTGTATGTATAATCATCACAATGGTTGCCAATGACACGAGTTTACATAGAAATATTCCAGGATCCACATCAATACATTGTGATACTTGATCCAAATTTTGATTTGCCAGGCTTATGCTATTGGCATCTATTTGTATCAAAGCTTGCTTTTCTAGTATCAAATGACGCGTACCAAATGATTTTCATAATTATTGCATTACGTTTTTGTTTTTTCTTTATCCCCTTACATGGGATAACTGGCCTATCTATTTCTATGAAAATTTGAGTTTAACCAATTCGGGTCAAGTAACTCTAATTTAAAAAACTAAAGAATGGCCGTGGCATTCATGAATCATGATTAACTGTTAAACAAAACCCAAATGAGGATTTATTGTTGTTCTCTCTTATCCTGTTCAATCCAGTTCCCGTTAAAGATGAAAATTTCGTTGTCTCGGAATTGTGTAATACTAAATTCTTATGCTTATCAATTCCCTTGTCAACATTGGATTTTCTTGTTTATTTGGACGGTAGTAGCTTGGTGAATTTTCCTGATATATAACCCACCAAACTCCAACTGCACTAACTGAAAATCTACTATGCAAATTCTATTTAGTTGAATTTTGCAAGCAGCTATCCTGGACTTTACCTCAAATTTTGGAGGCCATTGCATTGAATTTATTCAATCATGATGGTCAGATTTTGGTGTTCAATAAAAATGTGGTTTGGTTTCGATTAGTTAAGGGTTTTGTCTAATCTTTAGGGCTAACACCATGTTTCTACAGCTTCTGCTTCATTGCACTAATCACTTTGAATACTGTCTTTTTCTCTTCTGTTAATCTCTTTTCAGTTCGGCAAATTCTTTTTCAAAATTGGGCAGAAGTGATGGATTCATGATTTGTACGGCTGAAAAGCTTCCCCAACGGTAATCACGCAACTAAGCTTCACTTAATCCAAGGAAAGGAAAAAGAAAGCAAAAGTAAAAGCCAAAACAAAACAAAACAAAATCTATTTGATTGGTTAAACACTGGTGTTGACAATAAAGCATTTCTAATTAAATTCTATACCATTTTTATCCAACCTTTTTTTTTCTAATTTTTTTACTTAAAAGTATAATTTTGATAATTGAAATTAAAAATTTAATATTTTATTAACAAATTATACTGACTGTTGACTATAAAATATTTTCTGCAGTGAATAATCAATCAAATTGTAGTTTAAGCCCCAAACGAAGGCCTAAACCCAATTATCAAAAATGCTGTATGAACTATTCGATATTTGCCAACTTCAAGATTAGATTTTTATATCTATCAATCTTACTCATATCTAATGTGAAATTCAAAATTTTACTTGAACAAAAATTACGATAGATATTACATTATGGGTATGTGAATGAAAATGAATATAATTTTAAATTTTTATTGAATACGAAGGCGAAGATAGATAATATAATACTTATTCCGTACTTACATCATACATATATTTTTTATATATTTAATAAATAAATTTTTTATTAAATAATAAAATTATTATTTTAAATTAATTAAAATTAATATATTTATTAAAAAATTATCTAAATATACAAAATAAAATAAAAAAACTAAAATATATATATTATTTTTATTTTTTAAAAAAAGTTATATGAAATTATCAATATCCATTAAATACCCATAAAAATAAAGATGAGGACTGATTTGATAATCTATTGAATATGAATATAAGTAAGAATATGAAAATAAATATAATATAAAAATCCATGATGAGATTGAAAATATTTTGCTTTTTTTATATCCTAGGCATTAAAATCCTTACATGTCTTCATCAAGAGTTTTCTAGGTTAGACTTAAAGTCGTCCTTTCATTTTTTATCGAGAAAAAAACTCCTATAATTACATTTTTGTAAGAATTTTCACCAAAATCTGGTTCCTTTGGCTTCATTTTTTTTATTATGTTTATTTTGTTATTGGTTGAGTCATTGGTGCTTGAATTTTTAATGCACAAAGCACAAAGTTGAGTCAAGCTCATTATGAACAGAAGCTTCTTTTTCTTTTTTGTTTTATTTTTTCCCTTTAATATTGGCGCCAATCATATTCTTAAAGTTTAGTAAAAACATTTGGTGACCAACATTAAATTACAATAAAAGAATATGGATGGATACATCAATATCTCTATCCAGCCCTCTTTCATGATGATATTGCAAGTTTTGTTCCTTAACCATATTATGGAGCTTTAAATTGATATATACTTATGAAAGAAAAAAAAAATGAATTGAGTGATGAGGAAGATTCAGATTTTGGTTAGAGATGTGGACTTCTCTAAGAATTGTCTATCTCCTTTGGGTTTTTATTTCATCTTTGGATTGCAACTCAAAATTCTTCCAACACGTCATTGCATGGCCAAATTTAGATAAATAACTACCAGTTGGATGCATTAAAATATGTATTTAAGGATATGTCTCCCTATTGGTAATGAAAGTTAAGTAATTTGTGTATGAAGCAAAGTAAGGTAAAAGTCTTGTCAATTTCATGTCTTGAATTGGATTCATTTGAATTAATCATTAGTTGATTTTTCTATAACTAGAACCAAGATTACAAGTTAATTATTTTTCCCAATGTGATAATATTGAGCACATGAATACAGTCAATATTGATCATATGAACAAGATATTGCACTTGTATAATTAGCAAAGGGAATGGGTCCTTTGCAAATGAGGCTTGCAATGCGCATGGCTGATGGCACTTTAAAGAAGGGAAGCAGTACTGGAGGGATGGGGCCAGGGCCAGCAGTTGGTCGATCCTCCCTGTAGAAAAAGGTTAGGTCTGCCCCTAATATCAGACAAAGAATAGAGGGGCAGCACATGCAGAGAGGAACTAAATGTCATCATTTTATGTCCCACCCCTCAATCCTTGCATAACACTTGCATCCCCTTTCATCTATACTCTTTCTTCCTTTTGTTTTTGGCTTAGGGTACCCTTGTTCACAATGCCTCTTATTTTCCCATTAATCCCAACCTACTTTAACCTACTTCGGAAATAGAAGTTAGGAAAAAGAACCAAAGAAAAGAAAGAAACTACTTTTTCTTTTTTTTATTACCATCTTTGATATACGAGAGATGAAAAATGAAACTAGAAATAAAGTTGAAAGTAAAATTAAATAGCACTAATTGAAGAAATATAATATTGTATCATATATGATAAATTATTAGTACTCCTACTATTTTATTCCCTTGGTCATCCAATTATATATCAAACATACCCTTACGCTGAAATTTAATGTGGATGGCTCGGCAAGAGGGAAACCAGGCTTTCAAGATTCAAATATTGCTGAAATCATGGCTATTAAGACTGCTATTAAGTCTTTCTATTGGCTGACAAAAGAAAAAAAAATACCCTTATTGGCCACTATGCCTTACAGTAAGGTTACTGCAATAAGGTCAATTTAGCTTTTATTTAGGGTTTATAGTTTTAATAGGATCGTGGAGATTATGTTGACAGTTACACAAGGTAATCTTGAGAGAAATGGCTAGGACATCTTTAACTACAGTGGGGAAATGGGATCATAAGAACAAACACAAAGGGAAGGCCTCTTTTGATAAAGTTCTCTTGTGCAAGGGACCACAGTCATCACCATCCCGCGTCTCATTTCCACCTAATTGAGTAGAAAATTTTACAACGGAGAAAACAAAAGATTGGTCTTTCTATATAAAGATTCTGTACCATCAGAATTTCTCATCAGTGTGCACTCTTAGACACAAAGAAGCATTAGCTACAATATTCGCTTTCCCTAGCCATGGCTTCCTCACCAAACATCATCTCTTTCCTCTTCCTCTTTGCCTTTTTTTCCATGCAAATTCATGCCAGGGAATTCTTCAGCAAAATCCCAAGTGTCAACAACAATGAGAGAAAGACGACAACCATCCCTGACACGATAGGACAAGAGCATGAGACCTTCATTCCCGAGACCCAAAAGAGTTCACTTCCCTACAGAGAAGAGCAGACTTTCGGGAAGCAAGAGCAAGAGCCGAGGTTTATCCCTGAGACCCAAAATGGATATGGCCTTTATGGGCACGGGTCAGGCCAGCTCCCTCCCAGCACCACCACCACTACCAAAGAAACCTACGAACCCTATGTTACCCCTGTTAGATACCACCCTGATGAACCCTACAACAGCATTCCTGCATCCTACAACAACAATAACAAAAATACTTATTATTACAACAAGAATTCCTACGAGACTGAGCAGGAAAACTTTGGTAAGGCCAGGTTCACAGAGAAAGGATGGAGCACTGAGGAAAACAAGAACAACAACTACTACAATGGATACAACAATGGTGAGAAGCAAGGCATGAGCGACACTAGATACTTGGAGAATGGAAGGTACTACTATGACGTTAAGAATGAGAACAACTATTATCCAAACCAGTACGAGAACTCCAGGGGAGTTGCTTCAAGGAACGAGTACAATGAGAATCGTTACAACAACATGGGAAGGTACAACCAGAACCAAGAGGAGTTCGAAGAAAACGAGGAAGTGTTCGAGCCATGAGCTGTAATACTCTACAGTTGAGTGAAGAACATCTACTAAAACAAGCACTGGTTTGTATTAGCTGTTAAGCATGGTAATTAACTAGGAAAAGAGTAAAGAATATAAAACTTTATTTATTGGATATTGCTGTTAATTTGTGATTGATCTTTTTATTTTTTGGTTTGCATAGTGTTCTTTGCTTTGAAATGCATAGGGTATGTGAGTTATGTGTTTTTTTTTTTTTTATTAAATAAAAATGTAAGAATTCTCTAATATTAGCTCTTTATATGTTTCTTCGTTTCTAGTTGCTAAAATTTCATGTAGAAGTCCGATTACACCGGATGGTACGTTTATTTTTTATCAGAAACATGAAATACTTTCATTACTCTGGTGAAAAATCAACATTAGTGATAGAAACAGGGAGACCCTCCCACACTTGGACCTGACCTCCAATACCACCTAGCCTAGTAACATTATGAGCTAAAGCATTTGCATGTCGGTTTACATGAGAAAAGCAGCAAAATCTGTAATGTGAAGCTGCACTTAACACGTCCATTGTTATGCCTCTTCCTTTCCAGTTTGAGTCCCCAGCCTTAGCAACCTCCTGTATCACCGTTGCTGCATCAGACTCACCTCCACCTCCGTGAAGCCATCTTCCCTCGCAATGCCAACTCCAAACAGGACTGACTTCATTTTTGCATGGAGGGAGCTCTTCATATTCCCTCGCTGCGGTTTACATAGGGTTACTGCATGATTAAATCTTTAATCACTTATAAAAAAAATATTTTTTCCAATCGAATTATCAAGCAAAACTTAAATTGCACAAAAAAATTCACTTAATTAGCACAAAGAAAATCAACTTCTTTAGTTTTTCACACTGACGTCGTACATTGGATGTTTCATGATTCGCACTAAGGATAATCTTGACAGCCTCACTAAAATTTCAGATAAAAAATTTTTAATCTTTCATGATATTATTGGATCTTTTCCTCTTGGGTGGTTTATATGAACCCCTCTAAACCAACCATTAAAGAAGCTAAATTAAAAAGTTAAAAGTGTAGAGGTCATATTGATGAAACAATCCAAGGAAGATTGGTACATATAGAACTATATTTTTTATATACAGCTTCAGTGGATAATCATCAGGTGGAAATCCTCGATGCTAGTCGTCATCAGTCATCTCACATATGGATATATACCGATTTTCAACTGCCATAAACAAATGAAGAAATCTCTAGCTAGCTAGTTATGTACCACTTCCATGTGATGGTATCTTTACGGTGTGAAGAAATAAATGTTGGGTTCAATGCTTTGGATGAAAATTAATAAATATTATTGATCAAGTAATTAGATGCGTGTAATTCTTAATGCATTAATCTATACGGTCCACAAAAATCATGCTTAGGTTAGACTTTCAAAACCAAGAAAAAGAAAGCAAATATCAATCAAAAACTCCTTATTTGAAACAAGTGCTCCTAATTCAAACAATGAATCCCTTTTCATTATTATAAATTAAACTAATTTATATTTGATGTATTATCAGTGTATAAATTTTATACACTATTAATGAATCAAATGATACTATCTCAATAATTAGTAAATATCAACATTTAAAATAAATATATAAAAAATTTTTTTTTTAAATTTACTCATTAATAAGGTAGTATCATCTTATTTACTAATAGTATATAAAATTTATATACTGATAGTGTATTAAATATAAACTCTTATAAAATATATAAGCAACCAACAGGATTTTTAAAAATTTTTTTTTCTATTTCTTGTCATACTTAATTAGTAATTTAGTTATGTGGCAGAACTACTAAATTTACAGTTTCCCCTTATAAATGTTTCTCTCCCCTAAATCCCATTTAGTTGTCAATTTATTATCAATATCACCTTAGCCCTTAGAGTGTTAATTAAGAAAGGTAATCCACCAAATTGATGCTCAAGAGTTAATTATGGTAGTTGGTAGACACTAAACAACAAGGGAAAGTTATGTAGGGCCAACCTAAATTTTATCATCATAAAAGTAAAAGTTAGAAAAAGAATAAAAATGATTAACATATCATTCAAAGACAAGGCTTAAGTGAAAATTTTTAAATAAAGTTAGTAATGTTTTCTATTATAAATGATTTTATAAAAATTTATTTTAAAAATTAAAATTTATATATGAATTAATAGAGTTGAATAAAAAATCAATATATAAACAATTATTAAAAATATCTAATCAAAAATTTAATCAATACTTATTCATAAAAATATCTAACTAAAATTTAATCAGTACTTATTTAAAGGTAAATTTATATCAAAATGTTTAATAAAATATTTAGCTAAAAAATTATTAAAATTTATTAGAATTTTTAAAATTTTGTATATTTAATTTATATAATAAAACATTTAAATTTATTAATTTAGATTTTTTATGTGAATATTTATTTAATTCATTTTAATAAAAGGATTTCACAAATTTTACTTAAAAAATTTTTAAAGTCAGATTCTAATTCAAAACTCTAAAAGAAAGAGAAAGGAGAAAAAGAAAAATCATCATTTTCAATTGAGAAAAATAATTGTATAAAACAGTTATTTCATGTCAGCATAGATTTTTTTCATTCAAATTATGTCATATAATCATGTTATTAAAAAAAATCAATCATTTATTACATATCACATGTGATAATTAAATGATAATTATTTATTTCAATAAACTTATGCATATAATGTATAATAAATAATTAATTTTTTTATTAATTTCATTTTATTTGACATGATTTAAATAAAAAAAGACATATATTGATATAAAATAACTATTTCATACTATCTTTATTTTTCAATTGGAGTATCGTCTCCCTTAAACGAAGAATACATTGTGATCTTTTTTTTCAACTTTATTTGTTTTCCAAAGCTTCAGGGGTCCTCTTTCTTTTTGACTAGCATAAGAACTTACTGCAATCCAAAGACTTGTGTTTTGTAGGTCTTTGTCACTGTGGAATGTTTATAAGTATAATTTTTAGGGTTTGGTTCTGGTCCTTAATAAGATATTGATAAGAAGCACTTGAAGTCTGAGGCTAACCCAACTAATTATTTGGGACCAGGCCTAGCAAAAAAGCTGTTCCTGAAATTTAGGTAAAGTTCCTTAATGGATATGGAACCCCATTTCAGCATGCAAGAATTTATTGACACCCCCAGAAATAGAAGCATATAATTGGGGGAGGTACTCATGATGCTGGGGATTGAATGGTTAAAATTGAAAAAAAAAAAAATGAAATGGGTCATCTGGAAGAGATATATGATAGTAGAACAAACCAATAATTACACCCACCCAGGCTTTCACAGTTCCTTTGTTCCTTCCATCATTGGTAGTTGTACCTCCATTTATGATCATGCTTTTCATTCCCAGAACTGTTTCAGAATTTTTATGCAAATATTAACCAAGTTTTGGTAAAAAAAAAATTTACATGTAAAAGCACAGGCCAATGGATCCGTCACTTCATCATTTCATTTCTGATCAGTTGATCTGCTTTGCTTTAATTGGAAGTTAAGAGACATTAGCTGATGAACCAGACTTGTATATGGAATTCAATATGGAGATATCAGTGTCACCTCTCTCTCTTATCTAATTCCCTGTCTTTGGGGACACAGGGCATCAACTTGTTGTCAGATGGTAAGGAAGCATGATTCATAGGGGTTGACTGAATGGAGCTGAGCTAGCACATATCGTTGGCATAAAATCAAATTTCTTGGAATCAAGCAGTTTTTTTTTAAGAGCTTAGAATCTTGGCATTTAGCTTAGAGCCTAACCCAGGCCCATCACCCAGTAGTCCAGTAGGACTAGTACCCATCTATGCTGGGCCTTCTGGCTAGGGCATACATTAGAAACCAAAAGAACTTGATTGGGCTTGGAGACTCGGTTGTGGGCTTGTAAAGCATCCGGCTCTTCTCTCACCATCGCTACCTCTTGGGCTTTTGGCTTGTTCAACCAATCATTTCTTCTGACCTTTTCTGTACGTTTTGTCTAAACATATCACTCTCTGACAACTCCAAGTCACGGCAGTCACCATCTAACCACCAAAATTGATCCATGTTTTAATGACCCAAATCCCTGACTTTGGTCAATATGAAAGGAAAATGTCTTAAATTTCTCATGCAATCGTTTTATGACCATAACCCATTTTCCTACGACCTTTTAAACTATTGGTCTTTCAAGAACATTGAAGAAGTCTACGATTGATGTATTAAAAGTTCAGGATAACAAAGTAATGAAAGACAAAGGAAGTCAGTTGAGTTCATTTCAGAATCCATCTTCAAAAATTTGTTTTGCTTTAACTAGGCTGTCATTTAGCAGTTGTTGTGCTATTATTAGTGTCTGAAAATTCTGAGCTGAAATCTCAACAGCGTGAAATTTAAATGACAAAGAAAGAAAGTAAAGGGTGTGAAGTTAATGATTCTAACAACCCAAACATTGATTGATTTCAACTTTTTTAACTCCAAATTAAACTGGATAGTAATGTTTTTCAGTTAGCTCAGCCAAAAAAAAGAAAAAAAAAAGAAACTACAAGAAGCTTTCCCCTGAAATATGAACCACAACTTTTTGGCCCCATATTCCTGTCATGACCTGCCTCTCTTAAGTTTCACCTGTCAGCAATGCCAGCCAGTTACTTATAAATTAACACTCCGACGTGAAATCTAAGGAAATAAGTCAATGTCATACCTTAAAATCCGGTAAAAACCAATTATAGATCCTTAGAAAATTTTTTATTTAATGGCTTTGGCTCTTCTCAAAGTGCATGTATTCTTATTTGAAGGAAAGTGAATGCAGGTATTATGGTGTGAGTGAAGTATGAATTACATGGGTCCAATCCCAAGTTGTCATTGCCCAAAAATTCTCAATTTCTGTAGATTATTTGTATAGCAGTGTTTTTTTACATAAAAAAAATGTTATAGAAAAAATATTGAACACTAATTTAAATCAAATAGAAAATGACTGAGTTGTGAATAGACAAGCCAACAAGAATCCCATTTTCTTTTGTTTCCTAGCCTGTCTGGATAACATGATTACTCCATTTATGTGAACCTCGCGACATATTAAAACAACCCATTTCTCTCCTCTTGAAAGGAAAGAAATTAAGATATGAAAAACACCATAAGGAAATACTAGGATAGGAGCCTAACAGCATTGATTTTCTTGATGTGTACAAGATCCTCAGTACCCATTTTGTTTCAGTGATCACCTATCAGAAACAGAGTTGAGCTCACCTCTTTTTTTTATTAGTACTAAATTACTACTATCTGTTTGAAATAACCTTTTTTTATTAATAGTACCTAATATTACATAAAAATTTTGATAAACAAGAAGTTCATCATCTTGGACACTTCTGATCATTATTGTTCGTCCATGGACCATAATCAGATTTTTGAAGTATGGCGGTAAATTAAAGGTTAAACTGTTGTTAGTTGTGATTATCTGACGTTAAGATAATGATTATAAATTTTGATTTTGAAATCTGCTCTTTCATGTGATTTGCAAAATTGAACTCCCTTCCCTGGGACCCATCCCATTTATTGTTCCGTGTTTGAGGAAGAATCTCCCAGATGAGCCAAGCCAAGCCAAGGCGTTAATTGACCCTCTCCATTAAACAATTTCTTATACTTTAACAGTTACAGGGATTTTGTATACCTGTGCCAACATTTTTGTGATCATTTTGATTTATCCACCGCCCATTTCATTTCATTTGTTTCTTGTTCTAGGAGCTCAAGCTATGGCCACTGAGGTAATAATCAGTCTTTTTTTTTTTTTTAATTCTTGTTCTATTGGTTCTGTTGATCATGCATGTAAACTTTTTCATGAATTTATGTTCTGATTGTTTTGATCTTCTGGCAATTAAGAAACTGTTTCTGGGTTTCTGTTGCTTTAACTTATCGGATACTCCTTTCTTTTCCTTATTTTCTTGCTCATAATTTCCTTTTTGGTTGGAAAGATTTTGGCCTCTGGTTAAGCTGAATGTTACCGATGTTGCAGTAATAGACTAAAAGTAACCACGATTACTGGCTTAGTGGGGAGTCCAATTTTTGCTGTGTACTAGAGAGATGGACAGAAGAATCTAAATTTGAAAGCTTTTTGAGTACTTTCTTACTAATAAAGTGTTATCATGACTTTATTCTCATTGTGATTCATGGGTAGTCTTTGATTTCAATCTTACAGAAAACGGCCATTGGGGTATGCTCTAAATTTTGATGCTTAAATAGGAATTTCAGTCAGGATTTCATCTCAGTAGCCTTATCTGGTTAGCACTAGAAATTTACTGATCTGTGATTCCACCGACAGTCTCAACACAAAATCTCTTTCTATACATGTTATCCACTACCAGTAGAGACATTTCCTGCAGGATGGACCTATCTCCAATCTCGCCGATGAGAATCAAAATTGCTTTAATTTCAGTAACTGCTTTTGAAACTGGTTTGTTTGGATATAGATTCTGAGCTGCTGATCATTTTGCTATGTATTGAGAATGAATGGTATATTTTCAATTGATGGCTGTTCCCAGAATCATGAGATGTCCAAGGGCTGGCCACTTGGGTTACAGATAATGAGCATGAGGCTTCGGTTGCAAGAGAGATTACAGGCTGCATCTCCAGCTGTTAATGAACCATACTCATTGCACATTCCCTCAAGCAGTTTTTCCTCATTTTCTTCCTCCAACCTTGACACCCAGGTAATTCCAAGAAACCTTTTCTTCCTCCATTAACTCGCTCTGCATTCATGTTCCGCACAATGATCAGACACAATTACAAGTTATGTAATTCATGCATTAACCAAAAATACTTGCCAACATGTTTCTTCCATTTGCGCATGGGCCAGTCCTCAGCATCATTTTTCCAAGATAACAGCGTTTCTCTGGGGATGTTAATTGGATTCAGACCACATGACAGAGGATCATCACTCTACTTTCAAAACACAATCCGCACTGAAGAGAGCAATAGGCCACCTGTAACAGGCGCCTGCAAGGATGTCTCTAGAGGACAAAGCACAGACATGTCTCAGGGAATTTGCATTCCTCTGATACAAGGCGCTCTAGTAAAGATGAGCAGAAACAGGAGCAAGTCAAAGCAATTGGATGTTTGAGGTTGAAGAAACAGTACTTCAATGGCATGGCATACAAATCAGAATAAAACTTTCTTTGACCTCTGCCAAATTCTTTTCTGCTGTGTTTTCAGAAATTAGCCATTAAATTGTAACCTTACCTATTTTATCTTTATGGGACTTTTTTATTCACACAGCATAATCAACTTAGTAATAGTAGGTTAGCTTTAACTTCCTATTTTTTTAGTAAATTTATACAAGATTTTGTTTATGCTTGACTTTTTTTTTTAATTTTTAATTTATTTTTAAATCTTTTTATTTTGTTACGTATTTGATTAAAAAAGATATTATATATTTAAATTCTTTCGAACCCGTAATGATAATTTTAATAATGTGTCAGCTTATCCATCGAATAATCAACTTCTTTATGCATGACTTAATTCTAAGGTATATAATTTATTAGAGCCAAATAAAATGATTTAGTGAATTAATGGTTTGGCACTCCCAAGTATTCCAAAAGCCCAATATAAAACAAATTTGAAATAATAAATTTGGTTAGATTGTATCAAAAAATCAATATTCAAATTTTAGTATTTATACTTATTTTTATTTTTTTATTTTTATTTTTTTATTCAAACATATTTATAAAAAAAAATAAAAATTAATTGCTCAATTAAGCTCTAACCACATAATTGTTATCTTTACATTTTTCTCTCTTAGATTCATGAGAAATTCAAAACTAAAATGTTTAATATTTCAAAAAAATAAAAGTAAAATTTTAAAATTAATACTTTACAAGGGAAAATTAGATAGCATGGCTTTATTACTTTGAATCAACACAATTTTAGCAGTATAAAAAATAAATAAATACTAATCAAACATCAAGTTAAGGCTAATAAATAAGGCAAGTTAAGATCAAACGTCCACGTGTCAGTAAAGATGTGAAAGAACCAATGGCTTTTCCATACGAGTGCATACACAGAAAAACACCACTTCCAAATGCAAATGCAAATGCAAAACCCCTCGAAAGCCTAAAACCCTCACAAAAACACGAAACCCTCCAAATTCTTCGCCACCAAAAATGTCCGCCGCCAGGTCCGTCCTCCGCTCTGCCGCTTCGCGAGCGACCGCAGCGACCAGAGTCGCCTCCGCACCCAAGCCCATGCTGCGACCGGCCTGCTCACCCTTTCGGATCTCCAAGCAAAACCCGCTCTCGTCTCGCATTTTCAGGTAATGGATATGAATCCCTCTCTCTTAATTGTTCAGAGGATAAATTAATAATAACAATATATAGTTTTGAATGAATTTGAAGAAGGTCACCGGTGGAGCTGAGCTGCTGTGTGGAAACGATGCTTCCGTATCACACAGCAACTGCTTCGGCTTTGCTGACTTCGATGCTTTCCGTCTCTCGCCGAAGCGCCGGTTGGACCCCTGAAGGTATTTCTATACACTCTTTTCTCATGTTGATCTGTTTCATATTTTGGGTTTCAAGCATTTTTAAGTTTCTAACTTTTAGCTGCGTTTAGAGAGTTGGTTTTTTAATGATTGAATGAAAGTTGAATTGAGATAAAATGCTTCATCGAATCATGGTTCCTACTGAGAAGTATTTGGTCCTTAGTTGCAGAAGCAAAATCAAAGGAAACCATATTTGGTCCTTAGAGTTGAAATGGTGTCATTTCATGTGGGAAAATTCAAAATTTTTAAGGGTTCCTAAACCTAAACTCTGTGGTTTAACAAATGATAAACTTGAATGTTTCGTGTTATGTTCATTCTTTATTACTTATATTGTAACCAGAAAAGATATTGGCAGTTAAATACCAAGAAGGAAAATTATATACTCCTAAATATGTATTAGAAACTAGAATTTATGACAGAAAGTAGGCTGTCTTTGTTAACCATAACTGTCCCACAATAAGTGTTTTAGACGTGCATAAACCACTCAAAAAACAGTAGCCAAATGTTGCATATTGTATGCCCTCTTTTCACCTCTTTTTCCCCTTCCCTTTTTTGGATAGGTAATCTATTCTCCTGTCTTGTAAATAAATGAAAGAATGTAAGTTTTTTTCTCCTTTTGTAGGGCAAGACAAGACTAGATGAAGGATAAGCACAGAGAGGGAGAGGCTTGTATGAGTTTTTCATTGTTAAACTTGTTGGAACTGCTACTGAATTTTTCTTCAGTAGTTTAATTGAGGAGATCATCTTTCTGAATTAATGTAAAAAAGACAAGGTCAAATGCTATGTCCTGTAATTTCATGGCTCTAGAGATGATTGATGAAATCTTTTTCAAATATTTTTTAAATAAGTAAGCTGATTGATCGTGAAGTTACTGTTAAACTACTGAAAGTGGAACCTTCTTATGTAGTTTGTCTTTGTGTTAGATTGTTTTAATGTTTAGACTTGCTTAATTGTTTACATACTTTACGGATCGAAAAGGGTCAAATGGCTCTCAATGATGCAATTTAGTTGTAATTGTAAAAAGAATAAATGCATGAAATCTGACACTTCTTTTCAGTTGATAGGGGTTTTGCTTGTGCATATTTGAGCCGATAGTCTTATTTGGCTGTTAATAAGTTTTGCAACTTAACTTGAACTAAACCTTTTTACATTCATATTCATGGCAGTATAAGGATATAAGACCAATAATTATTTGTTATTTCACTCAGATTGCAATGATGATGTATGATGAATGTCGGAAAGTTTGGGCAAAGTTTTTGATAAATGCACTCTAAGACAAGGTGGTGGAATAAAGCTTCATAGTAGGGTCTTTTGATGCTTTTTTAAATTTAACAAGGTGATGAGTAACATTCTTATTAGTCCACAAGTTGGAAGGAATTAAATCATAAATAGGTGCTTTTGAAGGTTTTGTGATTGAAACATTAGATAAGATGATGATGATGATGATATTTTGTTATTTTTATTAATGTATGTTGCCTTTAATTTGAACCATTCTGAATATTTGGGGGCTGTAAGGGAAGAAACAGTGTTCATATTAAATTTTGTTATGAAAAATTGAATTTCATGCTCATGTTGACTAGTTTGTAGTTTCCAGAGGAATTTTAATTCCAGGATATTGAAGTTCTTGGAAATTGATAATTCGTGAATGATATATGCTTCCACACTTGTCCTGTTCTATATCCTAAATTTTGAACTTGTAACCTTCCCAGTGTTGTAGCTTCTGCTTCCTTTGGTCATGTCCATTTTCTTTTAATTTGGGTTTAGGATCAGCACACCTGTGGACCATGCCTAAATAGGTTCTAGTTGTGTTCTCTGTTCTAATTCTCTCATTGTGTGTTGATATTGTTTTGTGTGGATAAAATCGTTATGCATTTCTAATACCATGCGCCCATTTTCTTGCACTGTAGATGGATGATTGTGTTTGGGATGCGATGATCTGGTCATGTCTATGAAAATTTCTATCATACCTTGTAGGACTCGATGCATTTATTCTCCCTGGTCGAATGTGAAAATCCGACGTTATGTAACATTTGTTCTGTGAGCGTCCGGAAGTAGGTATCCAATCATTTTTTATTCTTACAAGTTAAATACCAGTTATCACCAAGTTTAATGTTTCTTCTTCCTGGTCCTTACCCTTATCATGGATAGCATGCTTTAGTGAATAAATTTTGCAGGTAGACTTGTAGTTGTTGTATCCCCATGGATGACTTAATTCTTACTAAAATCCGCTAACTGCTTTATTCCGAGTAGCATTAATTTTCTACCTAGTAAACCAACCAAGCAACTTTAGCAGCTTTCATACTGTCAATCTTTCTTATTGCATACAAAATAAATCCATGTATCATCCTATGTAATATTTTCTGCCCAGATTCCTACAATAAATCTATGAAATACATTTTACTAATATTTTTTATTCAGATCACAATAAACTCATGGAACACTACACTTGAGCTTAAAGAAGGCTTGCCCCAATTATTTGAATATGAACCCTTTTGCAGTCCAATCTTGAACATTGCAGCCTTTTGCCACATCAATCAAATTAATCTTCGATACAAATATGAAATGCAATTTCTGTTCCCAAAACTTTCCTGAACTTTTAATAATTTCAAAGTAAAACCATAAATTGAGAACATCTTGATATATATGACATATATTGTTGGGGTGGTTACATGTGAGAAAGAATCCCATATCATTAAGGAATGAAATGAGATTGTTCAGCCTGGTCCTTTTCACCGCCCAAATAAAACCAGAACACAAAAGTTACGCATCACGTATGGATATTTAACAATTGAAAACTTGCAAGTACATCTTTCAATTTAATGCCATTGACATCACTTTGAAGCAAATATTTTGAAGAAGAACAAACGAGACTTAATAAAGTATTTAAAGCAATGAAGAACTAAAAACACAATAGAGAAGGATTTTACTATCAACACTTAATATCCAAACGCAATTTGATCACAAGAAAGAAATAGCATTCTACATATCCAACTAGTACTAAATTAAACCATTAGATGTTAAAAGTATAAAGCAGCATGACCAACCATCAGCAAGATTTGTATACCAAACCCAACACTTTTCACAATGAAAATTGTACCGTAATAGCATCTCACCAGCATTATGAAGATTAAACAAGAATCATCAGGCCACTTCATAAGAACTCCTTCGGTATCCAGTCACTGCGGTCCACGCAGTCTCTATCATTCTTCAGCTACATTAACCAACTCATACTCGACAAGAGATAGATTGTTATCTTCTTTAACAACAAAGTTAGAAGGATCAGTGACCTCAATCCGGCCCCATTTGTCGACAGCCAGCCTCATAGAACCCTTAAACATATCAATCTTTGCATTTCGAAGAATCACAGTGTCACCTGGCTTCATCAAGTCCACTGCAAATGGATTCAAGCATGATTATTATCAAACTGCATGGAGTTTAGAGTAGCATTTTAGCACGTCTAAGGAAATAGATGAAAAAAATTGTTTTTTATAGAAATGAGTGGCACAAGAAGATTCAAAACTATGACCTAACATGATTCTTTTTTTTTTTTTGGCCTTTCATACAGCCAACCCAGAGTTATGAGATATAAAGCTTAATTTGTTGTTATTGTACTATTCTCTCAACCCACCACCCCATGAAAATGTTATCAGGTTGGAAGTGTCTTTCTCTCAATTTCTTCATGCAAAACAAAAATAGAAAATCAAATACATCCACCCAAGGTATCTGTAAGTAAAATACAAAGCAGTTTCAAAACATTGCCAATGAGTGTCAGATGAGTCACCACTGGAAACCCAAAAACCAAAATAAAAGAGTTCACTATTTTTGCAACTTTGCGCAACAATCTCACAGACAGGCCACCAAGATTAACTATGAAAAGCAAATTAAGCATTTGAACGGCAATTCAACCAATAATTACGTTCTTGATTAATTTACCATACATCCTTGAGGGTTTCCATAACGTTTCAATTGATAAATAAAAGAAATAAAATTTAATACATGGCAAATCGATTCAATCACAATAATAGAATAAGAAACAAACTCACTCTGCTAGAGGTTTATCCTACCAATCAAAGGATAAATCAAGAAACTCAATTCATGTAACTAAACCACCATCACAATACTAAATAACCCTCAATGGCAGCTAAGAACTAAGATCCTTGATCATATCAAATCCACACTTACATTAACAAAACAAAAATAGGATAAAAATCATCAAAATGCCACTGAATTTCATCTTTAACACAAGCGAAAAAGAAAAAGAAAAACAAAGGAAAGATCCAAACTTTGGTATCAAGGATGAAACAAAATGTACAGTTTTGAGAGAAATTCAGATCAGATCAGCAAAGGATAAAACTTTTTTAAGGAAAAAAAAAAGGGTTAAAAAATGGACCTTGATCATTACGAGCAGTGAAGAGAATAGTGCCGGTCTCGTCTCCAACAAGGCACTCAGCGATGCGGGTTTGGCGGAGATGTTGAGAAGCAGCTCGACCCTTTTGAAGGACCATGTTAGAGGACAAGACCTTGACGATTAAGGTGTGACCGTTGGTCCCTGGCTTTAGCTCATCCACTTTCACAAACACTGGCTTTCTCTTTTCTATTGTTTGCTTCTCTTCTTGCTCTTGTTGCTTTTGCTGGCCTGTCGTCGCCATTGATTCCAATGCTATAACCTCTTCTCTACTCTGCTTTTCTTCTTTTTGGTGTTTTACTTTTCACAGAGCTTGTCAGAGAATGAGAAATGGGAAAGCCCTAGAAGGCCAGAACAGAAATTGAAACGTTCTTGTTTCTCTCTCATAACAATGAAACCCCGATAACCGGTGTCGTTTCGAACATTCGAATACTTAAGGCATTTTTTCTCTGCGGGCTAGTCTTTAAGATCTTACGCTAGACCTTTTCATCACTTTTGGACATACCATTGAACTAGTTTGACTTCTTAATTTGGATAATATTAATTATTAGTAATATATGTCTTAATATGCCAACAAATCAATCTTTTAATTTTAATAATCAAATTTTAATTTTTAAAAATTTTAAATAAAAAATTTATTGTAATAAATTATTTCGTACTTTAATTAATATTTATTTTTTTTGTATTAAAAACAACATTCATTTTAACTCTATTATTTTTTGATAAAATTTTGATTTAATAATAAAATAAGAATTCAAAACTTTAAAATTTTAAATTTAAATTTTATTATATACAAATTTAATTTAATTTATGTTAAATTTATTATAATATTATTTATTAATTTATTTCATCATTTAATTATAGAATACTTAATTATAATTATTATATTTCTACTTATAATTTGATATATATAAATATATAGTGTTATTTTATCTCCTTATTATAATAATAATAATAATAATAATAATAATAATAATAATAATATGGACCATCGCTTTCTGCCCAAACTATAAAATTAAATAAAAAAAATTAAATAAAAAACGTGAGGAAAAAACGAGTAGAAAACGCGGACATTTACTCTACGTCACCTCTTGTCCATTGGTCTTTAGTCTTAACCACCGCCTCATTTCTTTGTCCCTCAATTCAATCGTCATTTGTTGAAGTTTTCTCATATTAAGATATTTCTTTTTAATTAAAAGAAATAACTTTTTAATCATAAAATCATGCATCATCAATTATCAATAAAACACCCATTTAACTTTTCTCTTTTTCTCTGCTTCGACTTGAGAGCTTGTTGATATTGACAAAGCCATAAAGCCAAACAAAACCCTGAAACATATAATTTTTTAAGGAAAAAAAAACATCTTCAGCAGATATAGATATATTTCTGTTTGTTTTAAAGATTATATTTTTGTTGGTGAATAGTAATAATTAGTAAATAGTTTGAAGAGAAACATCCAAGGGCAAGGAGCCAAGCTCATCCTTTGGTCTTTCAATGGATTCCAATTTCTGGACATCTCGTCTTGCAGCTGCCAAACGCCAATATAATTTGCAGCACCATCATCAGAGCTCTCATTTGGGTTCGTTTTTCTATTATTATTATTTTAATATTTGATCTGGGTTTTTTTCTTTTTATCTCATTTTTTATGTTGGTGTTTCTGTTTTGAAACGTAAACAATAAATAAATAAAGATCGTTTGAGCATCGATGATTTTGAGGTCGAGGACGAGGTACGACCCGATTTCCCATGTCCGTACTGTTACGAGGATTTCGATATCTCGTCCCTGTGTTCGCATCTCGAAAATGAGCATCCCTGCGAGTCAAAAGTTACGGTGAGCAAGTTTCACTTTTATATATTATTATTAATAAAAAAAGGAAGTTTTTTTTTTCTTTGGGTTTAATGGATAGAAACAGAAAGATCGTTTTGTTTCCGTTTTGGGTTATGTTTATACGAGGTTGTTCTTGTAAGTTTGATGTTTTTCTTTCTTACCCAGGCAAGCTTAGTAGCAAATTTGTTGCTTGGTTTGCTGTAAGGCATCTGTTTGCACGTTCAAAAGGAATACTAATAAAATAATAGTAGTTTCTTATACAATTTCTTTTGTGTAATCTTTTTTTATTTAGATAATCAAATTAAAGATATTTAGTAGCAATCGACCGGGCTATGGGAAAGCTCAAATTGTTAGGAACCTGGCAGTGTTGCTGCCATTGTTATTTTCTTGTTAGGCAATTGTGCAACTATCTGAGTAAGCTTTTCATTTTAGAATTTTTTTTTTTCTTTTGATCTTTGGTTCTACTGTTTTGGTGAATAAGATTATAAAGTGATGAGACCACCATATATCCCCCTTTTTTTGGTTAAAATTATGAAAATAGGGTGATTTGATGCTTCTAGAATATGATGAGAATATCACACACTAGTCTTGTTTTCTATAACAAGTCCAAGATGCTGCTGATGATTTTAGGATCTTTTCTTGTTTGTGGATTGAAGGTTTGGGTATTAATGTATCGGACGCTTGATTTGGAAGAAAAGAAATTTCAATGGTACAACCATGGATACTTTACCAACAAAACTAGATAGCACCTTATACAAGTCTAGTCATATTAGTTTTTGCATGTTATTTTAATTGAGAGATTTTCTTGTCATGAAAGAATCTTATACTGCATCAACCTTACTGTTGCAGATTTGTCCAATTTGCTCTGTCAAAGTTGCAAGAGACATGCTAAGTCATATCAAGCTGCAACATGGACATTTATTCAAGATATCCTTAATAATGGAAAGGAACTTCTCATTAACTTGTTTTTCTCTCATCTGACTTGGAAATTATGCGTGTACAGCTTCTTTGATTCTGTATTTACTAAGTTGAATTGTTAGACCAGTTTTCTTTAACAAAAGATTACCTGCAGAGATGTCGTAGGTTACGTAGAGTTGCAATTCCTAAGAGTCAGGTACTGTCTCTCCTGGACCGGGATCTCCACGAAGCACATCTGCAAGTGCTTCTAGGGGGTGGTGCATATAGTTCAAGCAGTGCCAATGTCTCTAATGCTGCTACTGATTCATTTCTTTCTTCACTCATTTTGAATTTCCCTGCATCTGAAGCAGAAGAAATTACAAAATCTGTTGTAACTAGTGTTGAAGACATTGCTGCAAAAAATGTGGCTACAGCACATATGTGGAAATCGAGGTAATGGTTCAGATCTTTTCTACGGAGGAGCATATTCAATAATGTTGTTACATTTTCCTAGTCCTTTAACTTTTCTTTAAGATGTATATTTTTTAATTTGCAACTTTGATTCTAATAACCAATCCAAGGAGTCCCTTTTTTTACCTAGTGAATACTATGTCTAATGGAGCTTTGGCATAACCTTTGCTGCTGTATGAATTGTGGACTGCCTTGAATTTTTGAAAAAACTTTCTGTTTTTTTTTTTTCTCTCATGCAGTTTTGATCCTTGTTTGAGTTATGAAGAGCGGGAAAAAAGGAATCGGCAAGCCACAGGGAGAGCTGGTTTTGTCCAAGATCTGTTGTTGTCAACTCTTTTAAATGACCAACAAAAGCAGTAAGTCGAATGAAAAATAATGAAGTTAGTTATCAAAATCTTGGTGAGAGGCACTTCTGTGTAGGATTCTAATGATTTTATAACATTTATCGACCCAATGCTTGTCTAATCTGAATGTTGAAGCACCACATGATTGCTTCATGATGAGACCCCCCCATCATTTTATAGCTCCTTTTCTACCAGAATTGCACTATATTCTGGGGTAAAAATAACCTTTCTAGTTTATAGCTTAACTTTAATTTATGAGATGCTTCTTACAATTAAAGGTAAAGCTGTTTTAACCTTAGTTTCTAGCATAGCTCCAATTTTTTCTTTGTAGTTGGTTCCAGCAGAAAGTGAATTGAACAAAGAGAAACCCTGCAATTCTCTCGTCTGATATTCTAATTTCTGGGTTGATTGTATGGGGGTAAACCAAACCTCTTTTCTTCCCACTTCTCACCATATCTTATCCAATACTTAGGCTACACAACAAGAAAAACATCCACTTTCTCTTGAATTCTTAGTACAGGCAGGATTGGGTTTCAAATCCTTGATGCAACCAACAGGACCAAGGAACTCTACTAAGCAAACCGGGACCTTTGTCACATGTCTAAAACTTGCTGAATTGCTTGAATTCATTACATTTAAAGTTATTCACTCACCTTAATCCCACATGCAAAAAAGGAATTTCTCTCCTGCGTTTCAGTTTCTAATAAGCAAAACGTGGGTTTCTACTCCCCATTTTGATAATTGGTTCAGCAACAAGCCAACACGAAGTCCTCCAAACCGCCACGCATCCCCAGCTTTGGCAATTTGACATCTAACCAGATACAAAAAGGGTCAAAAGTGAAAAAATGGAATAGCAAGTAAAACGTCAGGACATTCTATCTCTCTAGTTTTGTCTACGTTAGGTCGGTCCGACAGTACAAATAAACTTTTATGCAAACAAAAAAGGGTGGTTTCGTGCATAGCTGCCCCATTTCACGCACGTGCACTACCTCCCACTTTCTCATCTTCAACTTTCTCATCTTCAAATGAACTCAAGCACAGATTTAATCATGTTTAATTTCTTTACCAACATTGCTTGCATCTATAAATTTAATCATTTTGCATTGGGAAGGGTTTACATTTAGGATTGTAACTTCAAATACTTTGTATTTTTTAAAAAATAAATTATATGAATAAATTGACTTAAAATTTAAGTTTATTTTATTTTTTATTTTTGATCATGATCGTAAGGGTTATGAAAATTCGCATTTAATTTAAGAGAAATTATTTGTTTTGATTTAAAAATTTTATAATTTTATCTTATAAAAAAAATTTTATAAGTTTGATTTAAGTTTTAATTTATATATTATAATAAATTCTCGTAATATTTTGATATGAAATTAAGATATCACAAAATTTTCAAAACTTTGATGTCCCCAACACAAAATTATATAAATAGAATCAATATCATATCAACCTTCAAAATTTTAAAATTGACTCCTATCATAAAACATTGATTTTCCTCAAAATTTTAAAAATAATTTTCATGATATAACATTAACTCATATTTGATTTATGATTATTTTAATATCATTTATGAATATTCGTATTTAATCTATAATATATTATCTATTTTAACATGAAATTTTTATGATGTTATTTCAAAAAAAATATTTTTTAAATTTAAATTTAAGTTTCAATTTATATTTTTAGAACATCTCAAAATTAATGTCCCAAAGGCCCTCCTAGCATTAAAAAAAGTCAACCATATTAAACAAAGATTTAACCAAGTATATGAGCCAAAACCTGAATCTTGTATGAATTGATTATTGTTTAGGTACACTGAGAACCACTTGCAAACCACCACCCCCCCCCCCCCCAAAAAAAAAAAAAAAAACAAAGAAAAAAGGAAAAGCCAACTGGAACCCAGAAGAGCAACACCAGTGGCTGGTGGCAGCGGGTCCGTCACAAATTTATCATAGGCTGTGGCTAAAACTAAACCAAGTATGGCAGTTGGCAGGCGGATCAACAAAGTCGGTTCCAAATCGACTTTTTTAGTAGTAGGCCACAAAAAATTCCACGCTTTGTCTTCCACTTTAATTCTTTTCCCCTACACCTCAGCTGCATCGTTCTCCATTCAACCCACCAAAATCGAGCGGCCAAAAAACTTGGTCAAATCTCCAACTTGCAAGAGTCATACACAGCTCCCAATCATGTCTGCTTTTCGTGTATTAAAAAAGTGGAAGGTTAGTGGAGGAATCTATACTCTTGTCCACAATAACAGACAAGGATGTAAAACACTCGACACCCACAACTCCTTTGAGTAACAATAAATAGTTAAATTATTTGATTATATAATCATGATTTATTGATTAACACAAGAACAAGTCAAGCATTTAAGGGTGCTTCACTTTTTTGAAGAGTTTAACGGAGTCTTTGGTAAAGGAAGTCTATCTTTCTGTACTTCGGGTTTTTCTCGTGTTCTGTTTTCTTTGGTAAGAAGGGACTTTTGATTGATTTTCCAATGATGGTGGAGCTGTTTGTGTTGGGGTGTACGGGAATTGTGGTGTTCCTTCACGGAGCCAATTTCTTCTTCCATGTTCTCTCTCAACACCTCGCTGTCCGTTCTCTCAGGTTCGTTCATGTTTTAACAGCTTCTATAATTCTCAACTCTCAATTCTTTTCTTGTCTTTGTTTTTCCCCTCATCCAATTTGATTGGATTAAGATCGTTTTTAATCAAGTTTGGTTTCCCAATTCCCTGTCTTGTCTAAAATTCCTGAAAGCTAATATCTTAGGATTGTATCATGTCTCAATTAGTTGGCAGAGACCAGGGTAAGATTTATTTCACAGTAAATGATCCGGGAAAAAAAGAAACCTTCAGAGAAAAAACCTTATCTTTCACAGAAAAAGCTTTCCTTTTAATCTGTAGCTTCAGATATATCCATTTCCATACACAAAACTACTGCTGCCGAGCCTTTTTTCCCCCTCAAAAAACTTCAAATTCAACATCTTTCAGCTTCTTTTACTGCTGCTTCACCTTGAGTACTTGTCATAGCATTAACTGTTCGTCAGCATTAGATTTTGTTCATGCAATTCTGATGGATTTAGGTTTAAGTGATGTTAATTTTATATATTTATGTTTGTTAATTCTAAGGTTTTAACTTATGATTTTGTTTGGTTTCCAGTTTCTTAGGATTTGTTGGCTGGTAGACCAAACTCCAAAGAAAGAAAACAGAGATGATTCATTTTCTTCACGCAGGTCAGGTTGTAATGTGGATAATGCTTGACGCTTTGTAAATATTTACATATAACTTAGATTTAATATCATATATAAATAATAATGATAATTTTGTATTCTTAAGGCAACAACTTTGAAGGAAACAACTCATCTTGTACAACTGTATTTTATCCATTTCTACACCAAAATTTGTCGTTAATGGTATCCTTCAAGTTATGTTATTGCTCCTGTGTAAGATGAAGTCTGATTTCATTTTTGAAGAAATTCTTACAATATTGTCTTGTTTTAATGTATTTAGTATACAAGATTATGTAGAATAAAATAAAATAATATTATGAATAAGATTAAATTAAATAATTTCATCTTATTTTATATTTTATATATGCAAAGATTATTATAAGATAATTTATTTATTAATTAAAATTAACCTTCTTCAAAATTAATACAATTTAAATTATTGATATAATTTTTAAGAATATAATAAAATATAAATTTAATTTCATAAATTAAAAATAAATCTTTTCACTTTAAAAAGATTAAATCATTGTATATTAAAAGAATGATTAATTTTCTTTATAATTTTATTTTTTTAAATATAAATCAAATATAATGTAAAATAATTATTATTTTATTATATCAATCATCTTATACATCAATTATAATCTTAAAGATTCAATCTCCTCGTCTCAAAAATACTGTCATAATAAAGACAGTTTCTTCAAGATATTAAAGAGATAATGAACTCTTTTTTATATAATATAATTGAAATTGTTTTGTTGTTGAGTGGAACATATTCTTGTCATATTTGGTTGGGCTGTTGGGTGGATGTTTTTCTAAAGTGGGAGGGCTACTGGTAGAAGGTGATGTTGTGATGATGATTGAAGCAACAAAAAAAAAAAGGAAAAAAGAAGGTATCAAAATTTTGAAGCAAATGATTTGGTGATCTCTCAGGAACGTGATGTACCCAAGCTCTCATTATATTCTTATTGGGTTGTTTGGTGGAACAATTTTTTCAGATAGAGTGAACAAAGAAGAAAATAAAGGAATGGTATTGCTAGTGAAAATCTATTAAGTGATGATGAGACACCACTCAAGCATATGCTCCTCTGGTAGAATGTATCCATTTCAGCAATCCACCATTTTCTCTCACTTCCATGTGCTGCTCAAAAACCAAAAGCTTTACAAAATGGAAGAAACCCAAACTGAGATATAATTATTAATTAATGAGTAATTCGTTTAAAATTAAATCCCAAGTTCAGAAGAGGTCCAAAAAGAAGTCGGCCAGACCAAATCCACAAACAGAAGCCTTTGGTCCATCTAACTGAATATGTAACCTGGGAACTAATGCTTAGCCCAGCTGGTTTGAATGGACCTGAGCTATCATCATAGCCCAACTGCTTTTCCGAACTCCCTCGTTTGTTCAAGCTCCATTGTTTTTGACTTGTTGAAGTCCCGGCAAAGGCAATTCTGCAATGGCTTGGAATCAAATGAATTTGAACATGAGACTTCCAGCAACACAAATGCTTCTAGATTTTTCTTAAAAAAAAAAACATTTTCTTCATGGGAGATGCTTCTAGATCCTCAATCAATCACAATTGCAATGGATGCTTTCACTTCATTGTAGCCTTAGTTTGTTGACAAATAGTGTTGGTACCACTATTTTTTGTTGACATAATATACAAGCATCAAAATCATGAGGAGCAATTCCATGTTCCAGATTCTTTCGTCTGGAAAAATTTTCCCCATACAGGGAATAATGCCAAACAGTTTCTATCTTAATTTTTTTTTCTTTGGAGTCCAAGCAAAATTTTAACATCGCAAAAAAGATTAAAAAAAAAAAAAAACTGATTTGATGTTCAACACGCATAAAACAGGGTATCATTTGTCTATTTAAATTAAATCTCATAATTTTAAATATATTAATATAATATAAAAAAATCATATTAATCATGTTATGTAATAAATATGTCATATTTATATTTGAATTATTTATATTATTTATATATATTAAATTTATATCAAAATTATTTATATCATATTTAAAATTATATTTAATAAAAATATAATATGATAATATGATTAACTTCGTATGGATGCAAATTTTTACATTTGATTTTTTTTTTAAGTAATAGCGAGAAGCCCCGCACCCATTTCTCACTTCGAATTCACACAAGATTTCACGTTTTATTGGTTTTGAAAATTTTGCCGCCCCCAAAATAAAAACAAGATACAGATGTTTCATAAAAGACAATGGGAAACGGACACATCTCATGTCCCCCGTCGATGGCGTATTCTTGACAAATAACAAATGTTATTAACCGATGTGCCATATTAAAAATAATAATTTCTTTTTAACAAATGATGTTATTATTAAGTGATGTTTGATGTATCGTCCTTGAATAATTAATGAAATTATATATTTAATTAAAAAATTACTCAATTTGCAAAAAAAAAAAAAAAACAGACCTTCTCCATTGAAAAGGAAAATTTAGTAATTTTTCATTTAATGCAAAGATTTTAGCATTATTCGTAAATTCAAAAAAAAGAAAAAACGTGGCCCATGTGAAAGAGACCACATGAGCTGCTGGCTATGGTGGCTGGCTTTTGACTGCACGGTTCATAATCAGCGGATGGGGAGACTTGAAATCCAGATCCAGACGGCAGACTCCAGAGCCACCAGAAAGGTGATGGCTTGGACTACAAATGGACGGCTATCTGTTGAGTCAACGTGTCCCGTGTTTTTAATGGAGCTCTTATCAAAAATCAAAATCTCTCTGTCTATCATGTCGCCACTTTCTCACCTGCTGCTTCCCACGTTTCTCATGCCTAGCCTCTTTTTTTTTTTGGCTCTTAAGTAATCAAACCTTGATGGATTCAAAGAGAGGGAAAAAATCATCAAAGAATGATTACAAAGAAAAATAAGTTTATTTGCTTGAAAACTATTTACTTGATTATAAATATTTTTGTTAATAATTCAATGTAAATGTTCATATATGTAAGACTTTTGTTTTTCAACAATTTGAACCCGAAGGCTATGTGGTAATGGAAACAATGCTCGGTTTTTCATGGTAAAGGAAAAATGAAAAGTGGGGCAAATTGCAAAACCAAAAAAATGTGGGCAGATTTTGAAGAAATTAATTTCAAAGTCAATCAAGTCAATTGCGACTGAGAGTGCGGTGTGGACCCAAAATTTCTGCCGAACAGCCGGCAGCTTGGGGCTGATTTTGAAGCGTGGAATCTTGGGAAAATTTTATGGGCAGCCGCCCAAAAGATACTAAAAGCATATAATCTACGGTGGTTGTTCTAGGAAACATAACATTAACAAACAAATTTTTATTTGTTGTGAGATACAACTCCGTATCGTATATTCCGTATACCTACCAAAGAATAAAAGAATTTTTTTTATTAAATAAATGTAGAAAAAGATATGAAAAATCATCAAGCATCAGACAACGCTGAGAAAAACCGTCTTAATTCAATTCCCAAGCCAAATCCTCAAATCTAAGGCTTTATTGTCATAAGGTGTTTCTGGTGCTGCAATGGCCTTTGTCTCCATAGGGGAAGCTAGGTTTGCGGATACAGAGGGGTCAAATAGTAAATTCAATAAAAAAAAAAAAGACTTGCGCTATAAGGGTGATAAAAATCGGGGGATGGTCATGCCTGTCGTCCCCTGTTTGTCTCAGTGGTCAAATTATTTCTAGAAAGAGAAAAAAAATTTTATTTTCAATGTGGTTCGGTGGTCAAATTATTAATAGAAAGAAAAAAAAATTTCAATTACAAATTTAGTGTATTTGAATTGATAGGAAGGTTTTGCTTTTAGACTTTCCTAACTGATAAAAAATAATGCTTTACATATGTACGATGAAAATTATAATCATTTCTATATGCATTTTTTTTATAATCACCAATCTTTAGTTTTATGATCTCAAAAATTTTTTAAATTTTATGATATTTATATTAAATTTAATTTTAAATAAGTAAAAAAATCATGATTTACTCTTTAAAAATTAAATATAAGATTTTCGCCCCTCAATTTGAAAATCATGATTTCATTAGATGATAGTAGTTAAACTTAAAATTTGATAATTTTAAACTTAAAAAGAAATTTATTAATTGATATTTGTAACAACTCCTTAATCCCTCGTGATAAGTAAAGTTTAGGTGATGATTTTTAAAAAATTCATGAAATTTTCTATTGAAAAAAAAATCACCCAAAAATTTATAAATTAATAAAATTTAATGAAAAATTAATGATATAAAATTATTAAAAACAACTTTTATAATCAAAATTTCATTGATACATATTAAATTATCAAAACTTTGTCAAAACTTTTAATAAAAATAATTATTCAAAAAATATATCAAAATTTATACATTTGATCTATGTAATAAATTTTTTTAATTTCTTCATTTAAGATTTGTATTTCTATTTAAGCATTTTTACTAAAAACTTTAAAAATTATACTTAAAGAAATTCATTGAAGTCTTGGAAAAAAAAAAAAACTTTAAACTCGTATAATCCGTTTTAAGGGCCGGCATTTGTGTTCCATTGAATGATGCATTTATATTTAGGTTAAATACATCAAGGAACCTGCCCCGGAAACAGGACACGCCCACGCCATGCATCCGCTTCAAACGGGCAACTTTGTAATGAACATCTAACATCTCTAAAGTTACGGCGACGTATTTTGCGTGATTGTTAAACAGTTTAATAAAAAACCTGGTAACTTGTAACAATGCCGCAAAAAGGGTGAGAGGGGTAGTAGAGTAATTTGACTAAAAGAGCAGGGTGTGATTCACGGGGGATAGCAGGGAGTGGGGGAAGAGAGCTGTCGGGTGAAATTGATACTAAGTGTCAGAAACTACTGGTGCGGTAGCAGGCGTTGGAGCGTGGCGAGAAGTGGTTTTTATTTTTAACGTGTGTTTAGTGTTACGTGCCAATCAACACGAGTGAGGAACAAACGAAACGTGGCCAGATTTAATTGGGTAGTGGGTAACCTTTTCGTCCAAGCGAGCGGTTCAAACGCAGATCAAATAAAGGCGTGGATTGGTGTTTAAAAAAGCCCGTAAAAATTAAATAAAAAAAAACTGAAAATAAAAGAGAGAGAGAGTGAGCAAAGAGACAAAGCAAAGGCAGCTAGGTACGGGCTGGCCCTCTGTCCTCATATCTAATAGTATCAAAAATCAAAGTAACCGATCCAAGTCACGCGGCGAGATATCAGAATATGCCGACAACTTGTTCGAACTTTTTATTCTCACTGTACCACAATACTCACGCGCCTTAATTCTTATTTGCGATGTTTATCAATATTTACAAAAATAAATGCTTTTATTTTTTTTTTGCGTGGTGTGTGAGTTGACGCGATGAAAGAGAGAGTGAGATGGAGCGCATACCACTGCACGCAATCAATAGCCTACAACAGCCGATAGATAATGATAATGATGGAGTATGCTCTCTTCAAGACAACCCAGATGCCACGTAATTTACTTTATGTAATTTACAAAACTGACATCACTCCCCACCCTTCCCTCAGCCGCCCTCTCAGTCAAATTCTTCATTGACTGTGTCCCCTTTTCCTGTCCCTTCTCCTTTAAAATCCGTCGCCGTTTCCTCATTCCCTTCTATAAAATCCTCCTCGCTTCCCCCTCCTTTCTCTCTCAACCCTACACCAATCCCAGCGTTTTCTCTCAACAAAAACAGATAAATCAACATTAAGCTCTTTTTTTTAACGGAAAACGGAAAGTCTTTCCCTTTATAAATGGCGCCGAGAGAGAAAACGGCGGCCGTCAAGTGTTACGGCACCGGTAACGGAACTAGTAAGGAGGTTCATTTTAGAGGAGTGAGAAAGCGCCCATGGGGACGTTACGCTGCTGAGATCAGAGATCCGGGGAAGAAGAGTCGTGTTTGGCTAGGAACTTTTGATACGGCTGAGGAAGCTGCAAGAGCCTACGACACCGCCGCCCGGGAATTTCGCGGTGCCAAGGCTAAGACTAATTTCCCGCTTTCCTGTGAAAATCTCAACAATGGGAATAACTGTAACAATTATGGTAATAACAACAGCAACAACCAGAGTCCTAGCCAGAGTAGCACCGTGGAGTCCTCAAGCCGCGAGCCGACGCTCATGATCGATTCTTCGCCGATAAATCTCAACCTCGGACACGGGGCAGTTTCCGGGTACGGATCTTCCACAAATAGGTTTCCTTTCCAGAAAGTTTCCCCGGTTGCCGGCGTTTTTGCCACCGGCGTACCGGCTGTTGCAAGTCCTCAAGTTTTCTACTTTGATGCGTTCGTTCGGCCTGGTGTTACGAAAGGACAGCAGTATCAACGGATGACATTGGATCGTCATGATTTTCATGCGACGTTTAACGGTGGAGTACAAAGCGACTCCGATTCATCGTCTGTCATTGATTTGAACCACAACGATGTCAAGCCACGTCCGCTTCTTAACATCGATCTCAACCAGCCCGCTCTTCCGGAAATTGCCTGACTTTTTCGCCGATCATAAAACCGGAAAAGCACAATTTTATTTTTGGTTCTTTAAATTAATTTCTCTTACAATTTAGTCCGTAAGAAAAAACAAAGCTGGCCTTGAGAAAATGACCCCAAAAAAAAAAACATAAAAGAATTACTGTGAGAGCGTTGGGAGGTTGATGTGATCTATTGGGACAATCGTTCGATTATAAAATCACCGGCGGCCAAAAGATGTGATTACTTAGCTGATCTCTCCTTTTTTTGCAACAGAGAAACATCAATATCTCTGTTGTTTCATAACTAGTTTCTGTACTTTTCTTTTCAATGAGTTAACAAAAACATATTTATATCATCTGGCATTTCAGTTCTTTTTCTTAATTTTAACGGACATATAATCATTATTCATCGATAATTATCATCGCCGGAATCTGAAATTTTAATTCCGGTTAGGTGTATATTCTATGATTTTTTTTTTAGTTGTTATTTTTCAGATTTATCTTAATTTAGGTATTTTTTTACGTGGGTGCAGTAGCTTCTTTTTTATCCGGTTAGTTACCAACTTTCTTGATTTGCAAATTTCTATCATTCCAGTTCTTAGAAATCAAAGATGGTTTTGGTAATTGCCTTTTTTTTTAAAAGACTTGAAAAGCATAGATTAACCAATTCCCTACTAGAGAGTTTCGTAGAAGATATGCTTGTGCATCAAGAAACTTAGAATGGATTTAATAAGATACCCAAAACCGTGGGCAAATAAAGTAAGAAATTGTTTTATATAATTAAAGCTGAAAATAATTAAAAATAACATTTCTGTTTATGTATAATTTTTAAGAGCAATAGGATTTGTTTTGAGCTCGAAAGATTTTCATGATGCACTGAAAGGAAAACCAGCTGGTTTCTCAATTATTGGTGCTTTCTGACTTGTATGTACACGTGGCTATATCACAAGGAGGGAATGTGCTCTCCCATTCCAACATTAGATTGTGGGAGCCAAGATCATTGTCCATAGATTTGTTAAATTTCACACAAAAATCCAAAAAAATAAATAAAATATTTATTTTAAATTATAATTAATTAATTAATTGTAAGATAAAATTTTGTAGACGATACGAAAAAAATATTTCATCAAAATTAAAATACGTCGTGTCAGCCCCAACACGGCGAAAGGGCAAAGCCGTAATTAAAAGAGGACGAAACCGATAAAAGATTCGAGTGACAGTGAAGGAGAAAACAAGCGGCGCGTGACGGAATAAAGAGCAGGTTTCTGGGTAGGAGACCGAAAGGTAATTCCATGTTGACTAGGTACTCTCGAGATTCGTGTCTGAACTGCACGTGTTATTCGATCGTCCGATCCTTTCGTTTGCCAGCGTATTCCATTTTCAAAACTAATCATTATCGTAATTGTTTTTTTCATTTGCCTTTAAAAAAAATTATTAACACGAAATAGGAGGGAAAGGAGACAAAGACCGGGTCCCATGTGAACGCGGGCTCTGGCAGTTGAAGTGGGGATGGACGGCTGCCGCTTTTGGTGGGCCCGATCTGCGGTCGTCGATATCTATGCACAAAGATTTCACTTTCCCCCGTTTTTCTTATTTATAAAAAAAAATTCCATTAAATCATTAGCCAATAACTTTTTATTATCATTATTTTTTTATTATTCAACTCTAATTTTTTAACATTCTTTCTGCCGAGTACAGTACGGCTCACGCCAATTGTTCCTCGCGCCGACTAATGCCTCCCCCAGTTAATGATAAAAAATTATATTAAAAAATGTCACGTCATAAACAGAATTACGTGGCACATTAATGTTGATCATATTAATTAGAAAAAAAAAAAAGAAAATGCGGATCTGAACCCATATGGGATACCATGCATGGGGAACTAACATGCATGATCTGAAAGGGACTTTAAAATATTTTAATAATAAAAAATATTAAATTAATAAAAATAAAATAAAATTTTTAAAATATTAGAGATTGGGAGTGGAGAGTACGGCGCAGAGAAACCGTGTGGAAAGGTGACGTGTCGGATTAAGACAGACAGATACGCCGGCGGGTCGGGGTGTTTGCTTTAATGTTGTTTACTTTGTGGGACCCAATTTTCTCTCTCCCGTTCCACTGCCATGATTTGGGTACGCAAGGCTGATGCCTCGTGATGCGCCACGTTTAGCAGTCATGGGAAAGAGTATAAAAAATTGTACTCCGTTTGATATATAAACGAAGACAGCAAAGAAAGAAACCGCCAAAAAATAATGAGAATGGAAGGGGAAATGCCGAAATGGAGCCCAAAATGATAGTAAGGGATTAATTTTATCTAGATTCATGATTTTATATATTAATAAATAAATATATTTTTTAGATGAATTAAAATTAATATATTTATAAAAAATTATATAAATATATATGATAAAAATAAAAAATAAAAAATATTTTTTTTATTTTTATAAAAAATTATAGATATAAAATTTATCTATATTCATTAAATATTTATGAAAGTAAAAATATAATAAATTTAAAATATCCACCTATACATATGCATTGACATCTTTTTAAATAATAGTAATAAAATAATTAACGTTACAAATGATTTATAAATTATAATAAAATTTTTAATATGATATTTAAATTTTAAATTTTTTTATATTTGAAATATAAATTTATTATTTAGTGTGAAACTCAATTCTAATGTAATTAATTTTAAATAATACTTGATAGATAAATAATATTTTAAATACCATATTAATTATCATATTTATAATTTCAGTATCATATTAAAAGCTTTTAAAATTTATATATTATATTAAGTATTTTACTATAATTTAATAATTATTCGTAATATTAATCCTAAAGATAAAACTTATATAAAGTTATTTAAATGAAATTTTAAAAGTTTCTTTTTAAAAATAATTTAATAAAAATTTTAATAAAAATTCAAGCTGATAAAATGATAAATTTAATATAAATATCAATAATATATAAAAATTATAATTTATAATTTAAATTTGATTGATATTTATTTAACAGTAAAAATTTTATCAATATTTTTATTATAAATTTTATCTAAAAATTATATATAAATACATTAACAATTTTTAAATTTTATAAACTTAATCTATTTAAAAAAAACTTTAAAATCTATCGATTTTTATTTTAATTTTTACTTTTTATTTAATCGTTTTTAATATAAATTTTATTAACTTCATTTTGAAAACTAAACCTAAATATTTTCTTAATACTAATAAAAAAAGTCAAGTGGAGGGGAAGGATATTGGGGCGGCTGATTGTTTTTTTGGCCTTACTGCCGCCTTTCCTAGTGGACTTCTTGTTGTCTCTTGAGGTGACACTTGCTTTCTTTCTATTATTTATTTATTTTCGCTTGTTCCCAGTTGTTTATTCTTATTTATTTATTTATTTGTTATCGGGAAGGCTCTTTGTCAATTCTCATGGGCTAGGCTAAGCTACGTCGTTTTCAGCCTTATAATTTCACTTGTATCATTTTTGCCCTTTGTTTAATTGTTGTTTGAAATGAAATGTGTACACTTCTTTAGTAATTGTAAACTTTATAAAAAAGTATTTTTTTTCCTTCACTTTTATATATATATATATATATTTTTTTTTTTTCTCCATGTAGTAGTAATTCAGACCCAAAAAATATATATCGATTTTATATATGTGTCACATCTAGGAATATAAGCCCAAGTTTATAAGATACAAGCATAGATGGTAAATTATAATGTTTTCTTTATAAAAATTGTAAATTACAATAATTAGTTGGTAAATTAGCCGACCTATTTTATGTTACAAGGTAACTATCAAATGAAATGATGTTTTGTCCATCTCACTTTTTTTTCTTTCAAATTGTACAAATACTCTTTGTAAAATTATGGATTTGATTTTGTTAAAAAAATAAATAAAAGAAGAGAAATAATATAAAAAAAATTTTGATTTTGAGATGTGAATAATATTTTTTTAAAAGTAATTATGTCTTTAAGATAAAATAAAATCTCAAACTATTTAATTAGAAGTAGTGAAAATAATTATACTAAAATATTTATTTATAATGAATGAACATATATAAATTTATATTCAAATGGTTATAAATTTTTATATAATCATAACCTTTATGTATAATAATATATTTATATTCAGATAGTTGTAACTATTTGTCATATAATAATTGTTTACGTTTAAATATAATTATTTAAAATATGAATAAAATAATATAAAATTTAAATTTATTCATCAATAATTAAATATTTTTATCCACTATAGGATACACCATATTCTAAACTATCAACAATCTTTCACTAGTTTAAAATGTTGGTGCTTAATTTTTACTTTTCACACAAATAAATATTATGAATACAATAAAATATCTCTCGATTTAAATCTTTAATTAGCATATATATCTTAAAATTCTAACAAAATTGATGGTATTCGCAAATTAAACTTTAACTCTTAGTGTTAGAATTAAAGATATAATATACATAATACTTATTTATTTTTTTCAAAAGTTTATAATCATTTTTAGCACTATTATGATCATGTGCTTATCTTATTTATAAACATTTACAAGAGAGATTCTAATTCTTCTCGGTGAAGTGGCAACACTTCTATGTTTATATATGTAGAATTCTCATTATGTCTCTATTGCTTTAGACATTTAAAACTTCATTAAAAGTATAAAAACTCATCCTCCCCACGAAATAGATAACATTGATTTCTAAAATTTAAATATATTTTACTAGTATTTAATAGATGCATAACAATAACTTATTTTTACCCATTATACTTTGTAATTAGGGGTTACTAATTTAAAGTTGGGTTCTCATTATTGGTGTTTAATAAGGGTTTAAATACATTCTATTTGTAGTACTACTAACCGAATATCTTGAAATTCAATTTTTTTTTGGTAATTATATTACTTGATATTGAATCTTTAATATAATCACTTCATGCTAATATATTCAAACTTTTTATTTTGCATATCATTTATATACTCCAGACATTATTGTCTCATTCTTATCATTTTAAGAAATAATTAGTTTTAGTTATGGCCACAACTCTATATTTATTAATTTCAACCACTCTATTTTTAAATTTTTATACATTTTTAATACAATTATACTTATAGTACAATTGGATAAACTCAATAAATGAACCAAATAATTTTAGTCCTTTTAAGATTTTAAGAATCTTTTTATGACTTTACTTTTATAAGTTTCTAAACTTATTAGTTTATATAATTTGCTCATAAAATTATACTAAAATTTTACAATATTATGATAGCAATTTTTTTTTTATTCTTATCTCCCTCACCGTGTGCAAGTATGTATTTTTTTTATTAAAGAATATCTAATTCAATTATCAATATATCATATA